CTGGAATGCTGGAGGGTTGAAGGCTGGAAGGGGTTTAGGGCTTGAGGGGTTGAAGGCTGGAAGGCTGGAGACTGCAAGGGCTGGAGGGGTTGAAGGCTGGAATGGTGGCTGGAGGGGCTGAAGGTTGGAGCGGTTGAAGGCTGGAATACCTTGAAGCCTTCCTCCAGCCCGCCCTCCAGCCTTGCAGCCTTCCAACTTTTCCTCCTCCAGGCCCCCCAGCCCCACCCTCCAGCCCTCCAGCCCTCCAGCCCTCCAGCCCTCCAGCCCTCCAGCCCTCCAGCCCAGCCTTCCAGCCTTCCTCTCGCCCCAGCCCTCTAGCCTTCCAGCCTGAAGGTTGGAAGGCTGGAAGGCTGGAACTGGAAAATTGTAAGGGTGGAAGGCTGGAGGGCTGGGAAAACTGGAAGGCTGGAGGCTGGAGGAAAACTGGAAGGCTGGAGGCTGGACGCTGGAGGGGGTTGGGGCTGGAGGACCGGGTCTGGAAAATTGGGCTGGAGGCTAAAGGGCTGGAGGAAGGCTTGAAAATTGGCTAGAAGGTGGAAGGCTGGAGGCTGGAGGGACGGCAAAGCTGGAGGGCTGGGGCTTGGGGGTTGGAGGAAGGCTGGAAGGCTTGAGGAACGCTGGAGGGCTGGCTCGGTTCGGTTTGAACCTAAAGCTGAAAGGTTTGGCTTATACCTGAACCCTAAATCCTTAAACCCTACACCCCAAAATCCTAAACCCCAAACCCACCAATGATCTGCCAACTTCCGGATTTTTTTATTTCGAGGCGGGCCCGGGCGATGTTTCACGGAGGTAGTGTAATATACCTGTTTAACCTATTTAAATATCCGTGTATTTAAAAATAGGCGCCGTAAGCTTTAATTGGTTCCCCATTATCCTGGACAAGTAGGTCTTCCCTCAAGCGAAGACTCAGCTCCGAAAATGAAAAAGCAATAAAGAAGAGCGATAAGAGTACTACCAATCGCAATAGCACTATCACGGATAACAACCATAGTAGCAAATAGTTGAACAGTAAGAAGTCTTCTTGTTGGCCGAGGAGAGTTGGCGGACCCGAACAGCGTCTTTAGCGTGTTCGGAATCACTGCCGCCGCATGCCCAAGAATGAGTACTCACCCTAAACCCTAAACCCCCTAAACCCTAAACCCTAAGCTCCCTAAGCCCTAAACCCTGAATACTCCTCTACAAACCCTACTGGGAGTTCATCTAGGAGTTCCGGGCTCGCGGAATTTGGGATGCAGAGCTTTGAACTTCCCGGCGAAAAGTGCCTTGAATCTGGAGAAACTGGGATTTTACTAGTTGTTTTCGGTGTAGGTCGTAGGCATATTGCAACCACGTCAGATGGTGTGTGTGTGTGTGTGGATATATACGGTGTTGCATTTTCGGATTCGTTTGGGAGAGTTAAACTAATCGTGCTGCAGTCGGGCACTCATCGGGATTGATTGGTGTCCTTTTGGCTGGTCAAGGGCTCCGGGTTTCGGGCCATTCTGGGTCAATGTATTCGCTTTGTTCTCGAGATCTCTTACTTCCCACCTAGGGCGAGAAGAATTCAGATTTGGCTGATTCAGCCCTCTTGTAAGTATGTGACAGAGTCTGTATATTTACGCACACACACACACACACACATATATATATATATATATATATGTATACTTTGTGTATGTACAGAGAGATTTTATAGATAGATAGATGGATAGGTCCGATGGACTTGCTAGTAGGCCAGTAACCCCCGGCATCCCCTATGTCAAAGTGCAAAGAGCCAGCAAGCGAAGGGCCGTCCATTCAGAAAGGGAGCAGGCCGTGGTCACCTTAAAACCTATAATTAGAGGCCCCAAGTGGGAGTTTCCGAAAATTAAGGTCGTACCTTATTATTAGGGGGTGCTTATCATAAGGATCCTACTATTTAGGATACTATATTAGGGTTCCCTAATTTGCGGGAAACTCCCAGACTCGAGCTATAGCCTCTATCTAGCTCCCATTTAAGGTCACCTTATAGGATAGACAGTTCATACCCAAAAGGCAACTGCAATGGAGACCATATAGGTAGACCCTGATTAAAGATCACTTGTCTAGATCCGAAATCCTGAAGCTTGCCCCATAGAGCTCCAGAAGCATACCTAGAGTCTCCATTGTAGTTCCTTTTTTTGGTTAACCATAGGATCCGGATCCTATAATAGAGATTTTGGTTTACCAAAAACCAGGAACTACAAAGGAGACGACAGGTAAAGAGTAGCCCAGCAGGAGCCTGAGGTTCAAATTTCGAAAGCCTCGGGCTTAGGACACACAGCCGCGACAGATCCCTCCGCAGTATGCTCCCCAGATGGGTGCCCTGGCAAGAATGCGGGCGCAGGATTCACGTAGGGTGTTGGGTTCCGGGTGGGCGGTCCAAGATTTCGCAATCATCGTCCGGAGGTCTTGTCTTGTCCTAAAGCTTGCAGGCTATTTCCGCGCGAAGCTCCGAACTTTGAGTTTTCAGGTTCGGCGTCGTTGCGAGTTTTAGGCTTCAGCTTGATCCTTTCAGGCTCAGGGCTTCTGGAGTTTCGGGCGGCCGGATTCAAGATGACAGTTTCCCTAAACCCTAAGCCGTTGTCAGGTTTGTGGTTGAGGGGGAGGGCCCTGCTCGGACGCCTCGCAGGACAAGATTTATCTGACGGTCGGGGGGTCCCAAGGAGACTGCAGCAGAGCTCAACCTCATTCATTATCCCGGTTACTCCCAGTAACGCGCGTTTCTTTCGAAACAACGTTAGACATCACTAGTCAAGACAGTCTGCCAGTTCTCAGTCCTCTCAAACAACCCTGAAGCACTGAAGTTCCTCGCCGAGTCTAGGCTAAACCCTAAGCTCCAAGCTCCGAATTAACACTCAGAGCCGCCTCCAAACCCCCTTTTTGTGTACCCTGAGGCCCCAAAGTAGTTCCTTTTTGGGGTTCATATTTCGAATCTTATGAGGTAATCCCGAAAAGGAACTAGTATGGGGCCTCTAGTAAGCCTTGAATCTCTGCTCACTTCAACTTGGACCTTACAAATCACACGCACAGGCTACGATGCACCCTGGGTCGAAGCACGCCGATACTGAGACTGAGCGAGTGATGCTTAGTTCGAGGGTCAGGAACACGTCAGCTTATGGCTTATAGGCTTTAGTGCGAAGCATTCCGGTTGAAGGATCTTGGCTTCAGGGCTGAGGGGTTGGAGTTTGGGTTTCTACTGCGGGTTTACATGGGCTTACTGTAGGACACTGTAGGTTTGAGGGTTTACAGCGTAGGTAATGGCCAGCTTCATCTAGGTTGGATGTATCCGTAGACCCTTCAGAGAGGATACCCCCCAATAAACCCCTATACGCAACGGCTGGCCATTGTAAACCGTTACAACAACTACACCCGGTATTCTTGTCTTAGAATCTCCTCCTGTACGGTCCCTGAGAGCTTGCAACTTAGGGTTCTTGGTAGTGTTTTGAACTCTATGCATAATGCAGGGCTCTGAACGGACTGTTCAAATTAACAGCACTATATACTTAGGATTTCCTAGAGTGCTCTTGGCACAGAAAACCCGACAAACCCCAGTCTACTGTCTTAGCCATCTTTTATTCTCGCCCTTAGCTGTTGGGTTTTTTGGTTTCGGGTTTAAGACTGTGGACATGGGGGTTTAGGGCTGACGGGGTTTGGGGCTTATCGAATGCAGAATGTTTCAGAGTACCGTTAACCGTAATCCCTAAAAATCTCAACTCTATCGTTACTATGCCCGGGTCTACATGAGAACGTCGGGCCCAGTGCGGAGATTGGAAGGCTTCAGGCAAGCTGTGACGGCTCCTGATCTGGACGCTTTGGGCCAGTCGACCTTCGAACCTTCCGAAGGATTCGGGGGTTACACACACCCCTTAGAATCCCGCTCCGATTGCTGAATTGCCCCTCCGGTCTTGGAGGGACGAGGGACCCAGGCTACCCCGAGCCTAGGCGGTTCCTGCAAGCCAAGACTCCTGCACACCTGCGCAGCATGGGTTTTATAAGTATCGGTCTGGTTGTATGTTGCTAGAAAATGTGTTATTCTTTTGGGCTTTTAAAATCCGCAAGTATTGATCAGCAGCATACCAGATGAACCTGAAGGATTTCACCCTGAATCCCAATCTGCCCCTAAGCCTCCACTCAGTTGACAGGACAGGACTTGGCATTGAAGGGCTGAATGCCTCACATATTGCGATGCGGAATGTTGTCAGAAGCGTCCCAAGTTTCGGGGTTTAGGACGGTTTAGGGTTTGAGATTTGGGATTTAGGGTCTAGGTTTTGGGACTCTGGGAGTAGGACGCAGCTCTCATTGAGTGCCAATCAGTATCCGCGTTTTCTACCCCAGCAGAACTCTGCATAAACTTGCCGCAGTCCGAGGGACCAATGCTGTTGACAACTACCGATGTGTTCAAAGAATCGCACAACAAAGGCAGCGGCGAAAGGAAAGCACACAAAAGGAGGGTGCGCGCTCAACCTCAACCCGAAAGCGGCCCATGCAGCTTTTTTGACTGGGTGACCGGGTATATAATGGGTAATCGTCAGCCCGTTGGGCTTAACAGTAACACAAAGCCCGGAATGCAAAGCCACTGTTGAGCAGGGCATCTTGCAGCTAGGCCGAAGCATGCAACATTTTGCTGCTGGAAGGTGTAGATCTACGGCAGTTCAGAACTCCAAGGGGGCCATTATCATAATTCCTTCTCTGAAATTTGCCAGATATCGTTCCGCAGCTGGAAAGTCCTTGAAAGAAGCGAGAGCCTAACCATGCTCAACTTCGCAGAAACGCAGCAGCAACTACCCTTTGAACGCCAAAGTGCTCCGACCCATGCATGGCCCCTGAAAACCGATGAGCCCTGGCTTAAGTCCGAAGAACCCCCAAAACCTCAAACCATAACGAAATAAATTAGAATAGGGTTTTGGGGCCCATGATACTATAATTAGGATAAGGAAACCCCAAAATAGTTTTATTTGTAATTGTTGAGGCCCCTATACTAAATCCCTGCGCTCCGTCAGGCAGAGAAAGCTCGCATACGCGAGGAGGACGGGCAGCGATCGGCGATCCACGCACTATTTTTCGGGTTCGCGCCGAAGCCTTTGAAAAACTGGATCCATTCAGTCAATGGGAATGTGTTCGCCTTAAGGAACCCAATGCAAGGTTTCGTTTGACGGAGATAGAACCAATGGTATGCTTTCCTGGTTCTCGTATCTGCCTCGAGACTTTGTAGGGCCTTCCGGGGGTTTAAGGCTCAGTATCTGAAACTGAGGTACCCGAATAGGGGATAGACCTGCTACCCATGGCAGGAGACCGAGAAAAATCAGAAGAAGGCCCGCGACATTGCGGACCAGCAGCTCGACTTTGCCTTTCCACGGCTTCGGGTTTCAGGCTTTAAGGCCCCAGTCTACCTTCGTCGGGCTTTAGGGATCGAATGTGGTAATGTCATGCTTCGGAAGCTTTAAATGACCGACCTGTTTACATTTTCATGGTCAGGGGCACAGAGTTTTTGGTTTAGGGTATGGGAGCTGTTTGGTGTTGCCGGTTTGCAGTTGAAGGTTTCGAATCTAGGGTTATGAGTGGGTTTGGGGCTGTGGGCTTGGAGTTCAGGTCTTGGTGCCCTTCGTTGCAGGCCGCATGAGAAATCCAAGGCTAACCCGGGTGATATCTGTTCATCCTCCTTACTAACGTAGAGGACCTTTCGACGGTGTATGTTTGACCGTCTTGAGCTTAGGCTGTGCTCCAAAGAGGCGAAGTACCATGGGCCCCAACGTACGAAAATTCTTCCCGAAGAAGCCTTGTAAGCCTTATGAACTTGGAACTTCTGACACTCTCACTCGGCCCAGGATGGAGCAGGAGTACACCAACAGCTTGCTCAGCGGAGTATGGGAGGCTCGAAACGAGCACTGGAGACGGGGGTGTGCTTCGACGTTGAGGGTCTTGGAACGAAGGTCAGTTGTGAGTTGCAGGCTTCAGCCCAGGCCCCAAACCCAAAGTCGAAGTAAAGTCCGAGCCTGCCCCCCCCCCCCCCCAAAGTTTGAAGATGAAGTGACACGTGGCCCAGGCCTGGGAGCATGCCTTTCGACAGGGCTCCGCCGAGCGCAAGAAGGCCCGGGAAAATCGCCTTTGAAGCTGCATGTTTTCAAGACAATGACAATCGGAGTGGATGCAGCACGTTCTGGCAGAGTTGTTTGGGGATGGCAAGAGCATGCTGCTACCAATTGTCTGAGCCTCTACATTTCATTTCTCGGTTGCATGACGGGTATCTAAAAGGGTTGTTGTTGTGTAATTACCTCTGGGGTTTGTCGTTCAGGGTTCTTGCATCAGGCTTCCTGGGGGACTTTCCAAAGAGGCGTCTGAATTTTTGGCCTTCGCTCGGACTCTACACGTGATGATTCCGAACCGTGGTGGCTCGAAAGCGGAACAAACTGTGCATCAAATGCGAAATACTGCAAACCACGGAGGGCCCTATGTAATTCTCTGGAGATCGAATTCCCAGCGAAGCCATCAAGCCTTCTAAGACTACTTTGGGGGCCTAAATAGTTATCTATACTATTTTGGGGGTCCTTAAATATAACTATAGTCTCATGGACCCCAAAACCCTATTCTAAGCATTAAGGCCCTTATCTTTTTTTAGCCCGAAGCATTACAAGGAAAACCCAAGCAGGCCGAAGCGAAGGCGGAGATTGAACGACTTCGCAAAGAGGAGCCGCATGGCTCAAGGGAGGCTTCTGCAGCCTCCACTTACCTTTGGTTAGTAGGGAATGGAAAAAGGGTAGTAATAGTAGTTATAGCTGTACCCCATTCCTCCCTTTCATACTAATCAAAGGTAAGTCCAGGGTCCGCGCCCGGTTGCTGGTGGGAATGGTTGAGGGGTTTTAGGGCATCGAGAGTTCAGGAAAGACAAATCGCCAACACACTCCTGCGGCTCGCTCAGCGCGCAGAAGACACGTAAACCTTGAACCACGAAGCCCAAGCCTCACAAACCCTAAACCCTAAACAGTCCTGCCCCGCTAAAGTCCCCTAGAGTTCCAAACAGTATAGGAGCTCCAAACAAGAAAGCTTCCTTGATAATTACCATGTTGCTTTCGGCTTCCAAGGTTTTCCTTGTAGTAACTTATTATAGATAGTATTTAGAATGAGCCCCAGACCTCCTTTTTTGTGTGTCGATTTTGAGGCTCTTGAAGGGAGAAGTCTCCAAAGCGCAAATCGCTGACCAGCTGCTCGGTTTGCTTCAAAAAGGGCTTCGAGTATCCTTCCCTTGTCGCAGAAGGTCTACTATAGGGGCCTTCATAATTACCTATAATATTGTGGGCACGTCGCGTCTGAGGTTCAGGAATCCGGAACCCCCGCTTGTGCTTGTTTAGATTTGTGGCTGGGGCAATTACAAGGTGACAGGCGTCTAAGGCACAGCGACTGCTGCTCCAGCTCCAGCAGGTGACCCTTGCGGATTTTGATACCACAAAAACCATGAGCCCCTAATCGACCTCAGGCTGGCTCAGTCGGAAAAGGACATGTTGCGTCAGGAAAAACCTCAAGGACTGAGAACCGAAGAGACTCGAACCGAGGATGTATGCTCAATACTGCCGCGAGCTACTGGATGGCGTCTTCGAGCTCTGGCGCGATGCGTTCAAGGCACCAAGCTTGGGGTCGTTTCCCAGGGCTTAAGAGCTTCAGGAGTGGGGTGTGTTTAAGTTAAGGGTTTAAGGTTCAGGGTGTGTGGTTTCAGGTTTGAAGTGTGGGTTTAATGGGTTCTCCAAATTAGGATCCTGTTTGAGCTCGCACTGTGACCGGAGTTGTATAATAAGGACTTAATAAAGGCTCTGATGAAGAGAGTCTCCCAAGTGCCTGTGGTTTGGAGCAGTTCGCACACTGCGATGAGTTCTCCTTCCATCGGCCTGGTGCTGCAATGCATCTCCGGACCGGCAAAGAAAGGACCAGTCGCGTGCCGAATCCCAAATCCCCAAAGAGTGCGAATCAATATATAGAAGTTTCAACATGTCATGTACTGGTAATCTCCCCTGATAGTTCGTAGAGTTTTCTGTGCTCCAAAGAGCCATCGTGATTGCGCAGGCCCCAGCACCAAACTGCACTCAGAAACGAGCGAAGTCAAAGGAAGTCCGGCTGGAAACTGGGGTCCCAACCGGGATATCCACAACTCTGCATGATGATGAGTTCTCAAATGCCACGGGAATTGCCTTCACTCGTGAAGCTTCGCGACAGATGCGGGATTCCAGACCTTGGAGCCCAACCAGCACCTCAAAGTCTCGTCCTTCCTGTCTTTTTCATCCCCGGGGAGAATTCTAGGCACTGAGTTGGGGGACTTGATCTTCAGTGCTCTCTTACTTACCTTTGGTTAGTAGGGAATGGTGAATGGTAGTAAGAGTAGTTATATATAACTGTATCCCATTCCTCCATTCCCTAGCCAAAGGTAAGTTTAAAGACACATAGCCTTCTGCCACTTCGCCAGGAGGAGAAGGGCAAAAAGGCCGCCGACGCGGCGAGACTGAAGATGGAGCAGGACTTCGGTGTCCCCCAAAACAGCCAACTTGGCGGGTCAAACACTCACGACCTTGAAGCCCTTGCACGCCGCTTCTTTCCTCATCCCTGAATCCTGCTGAGCCCTGCTTCTCACCTCTGTACATCGGATCTCCGGTTAAGACTGACTTCAGTCATAAACGGACACCGAAGCATAGGTGGCTGGCGCACAAATTCCTGCAAAACCACCCTGTTTTGTTTCGACCATCCGACTGTACGGTTCTAGAGACAGCTTCACATGGCTACAGGGAATAGGTTTCGAGGCAACTCCCCTGTGATTGGTTTGACTTTCCGCAGTAGTCGCTTGACCTGCTTCTGGCCAACTGCTTGTGGATCCATCAAAGTGCCATATCAAGCTTCCTACATTGTTAATTCGGAACCCCAAACGCAAAGAACCGCCTGAGAAGAATCTGACAAGCTCCAGGAGATGCATCGCTTCAAACAGGCGGAGCATGACAAAGCCTTCAATACCGCCAAACAGTGCCTGTGATGGAGAGGTGAGTTTAGTGGGTTTAGCGTAGTTTCAAGCGGTTGGTTAGTTTGCTTCGATGAGTGGGATGGCGAGTGGGGCAAAACAAAGCATGGGGTTTCGGGTTGACACAAACCACAAACGTAAACCTTAAACGAGAAAATGGACTTTGACCAAACAAGTTGAGCCGTAAAACCCTAAACCAAGCAGTCTCAGCCTTGCGAGCATACCTGCAGTCATCAAGTGGCAACGCCAACTGGTCTAAACGTGCTGTGGACCATCCTGGTGCTGGCTATCATGGCCTCTAAAGCCCTTAAACAACTTGAATGAGGAAATCTCGAAAATCCGAGCCTAAAAACAGAAATCGTGACTCGAGTTTGAGACTTTATAAGGATCGCCGAGCAGATGTACAAAAAGTCTGAGCCCCAGAGAGCTCTGCCATTGGGGGGCCTTTGGCGGTTTAAAGTAGATCCCTTAATGGAGTAGTATAGCGCCTCATATTCGGAGAGCTATAGGGTTGGTTTAGGGCTGAGGTTTAGGGTGTAGGGATCATGCAGGGTTTAGGTTCAAGGCTTTATAGGGTTTTAGGTTTTAGGCTTTATATTGTTTTCGGTTTTAGGGTTTATAGGGTTTGAGGATTCGGACTTGTCTGGAGGTGGCCGGGATCCTGAGATTGGGAGGGTTTCTGGCGAGAACCCTTCAAGCTTCAGGCCTGAATTGTTTGTAGGGTTCCCGAATCTAACCATCATGGCCCAGAATGACAAGGACCTTCTCCACTTATGCAGTTCGTCGTTGGGTTTTGGATGCTCGCGAGTTTGACGGCTTGGAGGTCTAAGGTCTTGAGGATAGCGCTAAGGGTGGATTCGATAACCTTGCAATGACTTACATCGAAGATCAACTATCCAGAGTGTGACAAGAAGGACACAGTGCTAGTTAGGAGGTGCTCATTCACCACACAGCTGCGCACCAATATTAGACTCTTGAATTTCAGCATTCGGAGTCTTGGCAACTGGTCGCAGGTACTGCAACGGCCTCTTCGATGAGATTGTGGCTGTCTGGAAGGCCACCATGTCTTGTCAGCTGGTGTTCCTCATGCTTTATTCTGAAATCGAACCAGTGCTGGGCACTGCTTGGGGTGGTGCATCGCACAGGACATGTGAGTGTTGTGTTGGTAGTTTGCCAATGCATCCACTGTGGATACTCGCTGTCGTGGCGACTCTCGATCCTCCATCGACTTCTGGAGAAATGCCTCCAAACCTCAAGCTATATAACAGCGACACATTAGTATCACACTGTCGGCCTGCTCCAGTTCAGGGTGAGTCTGGGTCCTGAGCATGTAGACTCTAGAGACGATGCAGCTCGTCGGGCACACCGCGCGTACATGTTTCTGCCTAGCCCCTAAAGCAGCAGTTTCTGGCCAGGAGGAGACCATGAAGACAAAGAAGGCCATCGGCCGGGCTTCGACATGACCTCAGCGGGATTCGACCTCGCAGGTGAACCTGAACCGCACTCCTTCCATTACAACAGATGAATCAGATGAGTGCTTCCGAACACAACGATTCTTGACCACGAGTTTGGACTGCAAAGTTCGACACAGGAGAAAGAAGAGAGGACCAAGAAGGCCCAAGAAGAGGGCCGAATCAAGGCGACTACGGGATAGATGAAGCCTGTTTCTGGTAGTGGTAGTTTTGGGGGATCCAGATTTTTGAGGGTGCTCTCTCTCTCTCTCTCTTCTTGGTGGTTTGGGGGCATCTGACAGGGGTTGTGTTGGATTTGCGGTCGCTTCAGCATCAATACCCGTCTTTGTGGGGATTGTTTTGTCAGTCCTATACTATGCAGTTGTTTTTGTAACCTTCAAGACCTCAGGCCATGAACACTAGACCGCACAAGCACCCTAAACCCTCTAAGCTCCAGCACCGTTAGACCCCATACAGCCCCAACTTTAGAGCCCTCTATAGCCGAAGGCCCAGCAGGAGAAGGACCTCCGAGAAGCGGAGGTGCTGGCGGAGAGGATGCGGAAGTGGCTCAGCTCATCACCCTGCGGGTCTCTGTGCCATATAGTGGGTTATAATTGCCGCTCATAGTCCTTTGACAACCGTTGACTCCTTTACCCCAAGAGCACGGGTTCCTAGGCTGCTAGAGACTCGCTTTGTCACCTTTCGCAACGCACGCCTCTCCTATCTCGCTTCCTCCTGCGACGAGGGTTTAGCTGCCATCTTCGGCTTCGGTCCTCTCCTGTTCCCGGGACCTCTCTCCCATCTTCTGAGGACGCTGCAGAATGACGACGTGAAGTTCTGCTTCGATTTCTGGGTTTCCGACTACCGCGCAGAGTGCCCCGACAGTGCTTCACAGGGTTCAGGATGTATGGGGGTTCTTCAGGGTGTAAAGACGTCATCAGCACTTCGTCATGACGTCATGCGTGAGGCTTGGATATTGAGGTAGGTTTCGGCTGTTGCTGTCTTTAGAGCGTGCTGCCTATTCGGGGTTTTGAGGTGCTGGCTGTGCATGTAGGTCTCCAGATTGCTTGTATGCCATGAAGACATCCTAGCCCTACACCTGAAGGTGAGGGACCGTAGTTACTAAACGCTGCTCTAAGCTCAAGAAAACCCTGAATGTCCTGTCAACACCTCAGAACACCGAGGGGCCAACGGAGGCGCGACGAGGAGGCCAAGAAGAAGCACGAGGCCGCAGTGCACATGCACCTGCACTACTGAGACTTCGGACCCTCCCATGCGGGGTCTGATACTTTATGCTAGTGGGTCTGGTCTGTATTACAGTTAGGGTCCGTCACTTTGTGGCGCCTCCACATGGAACTTTACCAAGCAAAAAAGTCTGGTTCCATATGCCATACGATGGTACTTTGTCGTCACCGTTATCCCGCTTGTTGTTTTTCGTTTTTGAGCAAATCCGAATAGTTCTGAACTCATTACGGATAAAGCCGCGGAAGAATTAGCAGGCCGAGCTGGCAGCTTTGAAGCGCATGGAGCAGGCGCAGCCCGGAGGGCGACGTCTGAGCTTTCGGGCTTCAACGGATGTCGGGATCCTTTAAGGAGAGAAGGGAGAGAGAAGGGAGAGAAGGGAGACAGGGAGAGAGAAGGGAGAGAGAAGGAGACAGAAGGAGAGAGAAGGAGAGAGAAGGAGACAGAAGGAAAGAGTTTGTTCTTGAGGTGCAGAGCATCTTCTCCAGGTCATTGCTGCGCGATTTTGCCAGCAGCCCTATAGTCTCGTACCTGAGCGCTGCACCCTGAACCATGAACCGCTGGGTTTCAAATGGGAGATGCAGAAGCACGGTCCGATCCCAGCTGAAGGAAACTGGGGAGCGAGCTGCCTTGCAGATTGCACAGAAGAGACTTGGATGCCTACAGGTTTCTATGTAAGTATAACTATATGTACGGAGCCAGGGCACGTGTAAAGCTTCTTTTTGTTTCCCCCATCCTTTCTTTAGGGAGTCAGTGTTCTGGGAGATGGCAATGCTAAACGAAGGTTTGTGGGGAGGATTTATGGCGCAGAGCTCAGGCTTTAGGGCGCAAAGTGCCGTATGAACCATATATAGAGCCCTACATACAGGAGACAGATGGACGTCTTTACAGTGCGGAACGCACATCTAGACAGGACCTGGGCCAGCCCGAGTGTTTGCTTTGCCATTCTCTGAAACTCTGAGCACTAAGCCCCAAGCGCTGAAGCCTAAACCCCAACAGCCTGAGCCCTAAGCTTCCTACGCGCACCCTGACACATGGCAGATGCGATGCGATGTCGGATCCATCGGTCGTAAACACCAGAAGTCATGTTCGATTCTGGTGCCTGGAGTCAGCACACCCAAGGAAACTGATCAGAACCCACCAACAAGCAGGATGCATCCCAAGACGACTGTTCCAAATTTCCAAGTCCTCTTGAACATCAGCGGTTGCATAGTCAGGTTCATGCATTCCTTCATCCTTGGGACGATTCCAATGAGCAGCTTGCGCACTTTCATGCATGAAGCCGCTGCGCTCCACCCAGGATGTACAAGAAGATCGTGGATGACAACATGCTTCTCGATCCCAAGAGTTCAGGGAACCTGAATATGAGGTTTCTCCAAACGATGCGAGTGATGTGACATTTCCAGTGACCGGTACTGGTCTGCTGTGGCGCTTCGGAAGTAAAGTCAGGAGTTTGAGTGCATAGGAGTAGACGAAGGATTCGAACTCTGAACCTGCAGATGCTCAGGAAGTGGTGCGTGGACAACTGGCATCGCATCATCAAAAAGGAGACGATACATGTCGGCGTTATCATGCTTGGATATCCACAAGATGGGGTCGAAGACCTGGGGAGAATGCTGCCGCTCACGCTGTACTTTGCCGTACAGTTGTGGCGTGTTTTCCATGTCAAGTACATAGTTGTAACATGGTTGTGTGAAATCATACAAATGGCAGAGGTTATGGATACCATGTACCGGTCAGCTGGTAATGAACCCTGGCAGCCCAGATGCTTCTGTACTGGGTTCATGTCAAACCTCCAGTACCCATAGCCCAGTAAGCTACCAAGCAGGTAAGTGAGATCCTTGCATACTTGGAGGATCAGGGGACTTAGCAGGTAAGGTTATAAGCACCCTAAATGGGGTTATAAGTACTTATAACTAGTACTTATATCTATGGTTGCCCTATTTCTGACCCTAATTACTAGTCCCATGATCCTTCAAGTAAGCAGACTTTAGAGAGTTTACGGCTCAATTGACGAAGCCAGGAGAAGGCGCAGAAGAAAGAAGAGCAGGCCAAGCGCCAACACCAGGACCACGGGCTTCAGCGGCTTGGGGTTTACAGTTTTAAGGCAACCCTAGTAGTAGAGTAGGTAACCTTCAACCGTTTTTGGGTAGTATAGTCCCTATATATAATCCCTATATAACCAAAAAGGGTTAACCTGTAGTTCCCCATGATGCCCGACGAGTGGGCAACCCTATTCGTGCAGCCCACGACTCCTATACCGTCCCGAAGCGTCCGGAAGAACTAAAAGAAGAAAGCAGAACAACGTCCAAAAGCTCAAATCATTCACGTCCGAAGCCCCAAATGCCGCCGCAACACGAAGACCGGGCAGAGGAATTTTGGAGTTGTCCATAGCTGTTAATCTCTTGGAAACATGAAGCACGAACCCAGAGAGTATAAACTAAATGTCCTGAGCCCCTCCTCCAGACGACAACTCGAGTTTGATAAACCCTAAACCCTAAACCCTAAACCGTGATTCGGGCTTCTGCTTGACATTTGCTGAGGCTTTTGGCGCTTCTGGGCTCGGAGGGTTTCGGGTTTTCGGAGTTTCACATTGAGGGCACCCGTAGTTCAGGGTTTATGACGAGACCCAAGAACACGCAGTTCTATTGAAGGTGTCATGCTGTCGAAATATCCAGGCCGCGGTAGTTGACCTTCTAGTCTAAGCCATGGCCTGCAACCTAGACTCTAAGCTTTCAATTTGCAGTGACCGAACTAGCGCCTCATCTAGAATCTACTTACCTTCGGTTAGTAGGGAATGGAAGAATGGTAGTAATCGTAGTTATACTTGTACCCCATTCCTCCATTCCCTACTAACCCAAGGTAAGTCTAGAACAGTCTTCTTCTGCTCTGAGACTGGTCTCAGAACTGATTCAAAGCCCAAAGCCCGACCACGATCAGGGCCGGACCAGCGGAGCGGCCACGAATGTCAAACAACAACATCTGTGCGCCGTAAACCCTACAAGCCCTCAGTTTTTTGGCCTTATAAACCTTATTATCCCTAAGCCCTAAACCGCAAGGCCTACACCTTAAGTGCTCTAAGCCCTAGAACAGCTCTTCCGGAATCTCTGTTGCCAGGATGAGCTGGACCGGATACGTCGGGAAGAGCTGGAGAAGAAGGACAAGGCACGCATCTTCAGTTTCCTGAAATCTTCTTTTCCCCTTTAAAAGGGTTTGGCGATTGCGCTGGTCTAAGGTGTTGGTACACATGAGTCACATGAACGTGTCTCTTGTCGCGGGGTTTGCACAGTTGCATTGACAGCCCGACTTGACTACGCTTCAGAATCAATGCAGCATTTCCTTCGTTTTAACGATAGAGCACGGTTCTGCTGACGATCATCAGAGTCTTTGAGGCGAGGGTTTAGCATTCTGGGCTGAACTGGGTGACAGGGATACTGACAGCAGCACCGTGTTCGGTGTGACGACAGGCAAGTTATACAATGGTCAGATCGGATCAACACAACCTGATGTCTGCCGTGACGTGATTCGAGGCCGTCGTAGAGTCACAGGAGTGGCTGCACTTCTCAGCTACCGCCATGGCGGCAGCTGATGCATCAGAAGTCTCGTCCGAAAAACGGGCAAGTCCCGAAGCAACAACGATGCCCCCTACTCGCCGCAAACTCAACATCGCCTGATTTTGAACCCTGAGCCCTAATCCCGTAAACCCAAACCCTGGAGTTGATTCAGCGATAAAACCAACTCCACATCCTGAAGTCCAAAACTCGACGTGTGGCCTCTGTGACTCCATCCTCAGGCGGCGCAGAAGTTGGCAGAGCAGATGCCCGGAACCCAAGATTTCTGATTCTTCGGGCTGGAGGCTCTGGTAGAGGGCTTGGGGCCCAAGGTCTTCAGCGCAACACAAAATCCGGAGGACTACCTTTCCAGCACGATGGATCCTGCATTGAAGGGGAGTTTCCGGAAAAAAACATATGCAAGGGAGCCTGATCTTGTTGTAGACTTAGCGGTTCCGCAATATGCTTGCGTGCCGAGACAGTTGGGACTTCAGAAGTGCGAAGTGGCCTTAAGGGCTCCAGATAAGGGCTGTTTGCAAGAGTATTGAGTGGGCCAGTGAACAAAAGACCATAGAACGGTATTTCGCATGTCTCTGAGCTTGTCGTTGATTTTTCGTACCGTCGAAACTTCAGATGGTTCGTTCTATCGGCGGTGTGGGCAGGGTTTCCAACTACGCTTCAGGGCTTTGGTGCGGGTCAGGCTTAGGACATCGACAAGGGCTGCGCCCAGGCCCCATTTCACGGCCCACGCCTTGTACAAGAAAGGCTTTCCTGGCACTCCTCCCCCTAAGAAGAAGCAAGCCAAGCCCCTGTTTGAACAACCCTCTGAAGCCAAAGCAAGCCTAATTCCTTCATGCCGCAAGCTGAGGTTCAAGAAGTACTGGGATGACACTTGGCGACCAGAAAGTCTGTTGCAGGGCATGCCGAATGAAACGGCCTACTATACCGGCGATATCGCAAAAGATTGACCGGTTTTGAGGTGTGGAGGGTGTTGAGAATGAAGGTTTGGAGGTTCAGAGCTTATATGATTACTTAGTTGTTTGCAGCCCGCAAGAGCCCCAAAACCTGCTCCTTCGCCCTGAACCGCGGAGCAGAGATCGCACCCGTGGACTGCCCCCTACAAAGACCTAGACTCTTATTATCTGTAAACCCTAAACCGGGGGTGTTCTTTGGAGTCTGGGCCTCTCTTCGCGCTTGCCGTGCTTGCTCAGGATAACATCGGCGTGGTGGTGGAACTGTGGCGTCGACTAGCGGTCCTGACTAAAGTGGGCCTCTCAGTGATCCGTGGTGGCAACGACTTCTTGGAAAGTTTGTGCCTGCAACACCGCAGGGAAGGTTTCTGTGACCCATGTAGAATAATCGTGTAGCTTGCCCTGAGACAGCTACAGGGCTTGACCTGACGGTTTTGTCAGGTATGATGGTTGTCTCGATAGGGGCTTAGGGCACACGCACCCGAAACCTATGAAATACCATACGCACCCGAAACCTATGAAATACCATATTATACTTCAGTATACTATAGTACATTACAAAATACGATAATATACTGTGGTATACCATAATAACATGACCGTTAAACTTAAACCTCTGCCCGACACCTTCTCTTTACTTCGGTTGCACCATACCAGTGGCCCAGGCAAGCTTTTATGTTCAAAGGCTACCAGTCAAGGAAGGTTAGGCAGTCCTAGGATCAGAAAGTTGTCACAACGGACGATACTTCCTTTCAACAGACAATTCATAGGTTGCCTTGCCTGGGAGGTAGGTCAATGGACTTCATCATGCGACTACTTATTTCTGTCGCGGCTACCCGGAACCCCAATAGCCTAAACTCAAGGTCTTAAACCCTGGGCACCTAAACTCAAAGCCCTCCATGCCTGGCTTCTGCCCTGGCAATGGCAGGAGACAAAAGCCCGGCGGCAGCACGAAGAGGCTGATATCCACATGTTACGTATGAGATTCCGAGATCTTGAGGGCCTTGTAGAGTTGATAAAGTTGTAAAGGAGAAGATCGGTAAGCATGCGTTAGTAGGAGATACCACCTCAGAGTGGAGTCTACTTTATGGTCCGAAACGGTGACTGACCCTTGGCTGGTTCGGCCGAAGGGTGCAGGGCTCTGCCGAAGGGCGAGAAACTCGAGTTTAGACATGACGTATGGATGTCGTCTCGATGTGCCAACTTGTCCAAAGCCAGCTAGATGCCTTTATGTTCAGAAGGTCAGCTGCCAACAATGACGGGACACCGCTGGCCCCAGCCTGCAAAAGCCAAGACAGCCTCGCAGTTCAGAGTCCTTGGAGTCGAGTTTTAAAGTCAAAGACCATGCTTCAGCCCCCAAGTGGTGTTAGCCCGAGATCGGAGCGGAGAGATTGAGAGAGACAGCGGACTTTGCTAGTTGGAATGGGATTTTGAGGTGTATTATTGTAGCTGTAAAGCAGGAACCCGAAGGACTGGTATTGATAATGATTGATTGCTACGAGGAGCTTGCACGGCTGAAGCGCAGCCACAAGGAAGTGGGGACCAAGGTGGGAGTGCAAAACTCATCGTTCTCAGAACTTTTAAATCCTAAGCCTAACAAGCCATAAACCACAACCCCTAATCCCATGGTTTTCAGGAGCGCTCTGGGCTCAGGGGTGCTTAGCTGAGGAAGGTCTCGCGTTCTCAGGACTTGATACCAAAGACCAGAGGCTACCTGATTACCATTAATTACTCTTCCTCTTCCTGATGGTTCCTCAATGCATGTAGTCACCTCAGGGTCTCTCGAAATATTAAGGCCGCTATGTTACCCATGTGGCATGCTAAGTCTCATACGGTTTCTGACATGGTTTACTTAATCTGTTTCCAGCAACAACCCGCACGTCAGTATTTCGCGGAGGGTTTGCTTGATGATGAGAGACAGGTATACCACAGACCCAAAGCCCAATTGTGGGTGCCTACAAAAGAGACCTCTGACACTGCATGGAATTGAATATAGCAGCCACTGTCAAAGTGCTAAGGCTAAGGCCCCTACAGCAGAAATACAGACATATTCAATACCATGGAAAGCTCTCACAATGTCCCTGATATGCATGTATATATACACACATTATCTATCTATCTATCTGTATATATATATATATATATATATATATATATACACACATATCTATACATAGGTATGAATGCATGGATGGATGGATGGATGGATGGATGGAGGGATGGATGTATGCATGGGTGTATGTACGCATGAGTGAATGAATGAATGCATGTATGGATTTATGTATGTATGCATGCATGTATGCATGCGCAGTTTCCGGAGTTCTTTCGATTCGGTAGCCTCCTGGAGCTGCATGATCAGGCAGCATTGGAGATCGCTGGGCGCATGCTCAGCGCTCGGAGAGCACAGACATAATGTAGGGGGAGAACCGTTGGCAGCACTAATCCTTCGAGGTGATTACATTACATTATCTGTATATCTCACCCTCTCTCCCTCTCTCTCTCTCTCTCTCTCTCATTCTCTCTGTCTTTCTCTATCTCTCTCTCTCTCTCTCTCTCTCTATGTCATGCAGTATCTGCCTATCTATCTATCTACCTGTCATGGAGGCATTTTGAATTTACATGTATGGCTTTACATCTACATGTACATCTGGATTTAAGCCTATGTTTCCAAGGTAAGGCCCATGCATTGGGGTTGGCCGGTCAGCTGTTGCTGCTGGGGCTGCTGAGGGTGGTGCAGGGGTTGGATGAGTATGTAGCAGGACAGCACATGACACAAAAAGCCCGTTAAGGCCATCGGGGATGTTGGAGTGAGCAGTAGACCTGGAGTCTGTCAAGCGTTGCACAGGCTCAACTTCGGCCCAGGGGTTTCGGCGGTTTACGGTTAGGAGTGGAGCCAACTTGCCGAATGACTTTCTCTCTGTCACCGACAGAGTTTTCATGATCAGAAAACAGGAGACAGGGCAGCTTAAGCAGTCTATCGGGCTGTTGTCGCAGCAACTGGCCTCGGTGACGCGTTTGGCATTGGTACTTCGGGGTGGGTCACGGTTTTCAGAGCTTTTGTCCTTGGGCTTCGGGTTTTTGGCAGGATTAGAAAAGCAATCGAGACGGGTTAGCAGTTCCTGCTGCGCTGCGTTCGGGGCTTTGCGATGGCTTTCGAGGTAACCCGAACACGCAAGCACAACACCCCACAGGAAAACCAAACCGCAGACCCCAGATACAATCACTAGCTAAAGCGCTAAGAAGAAGCGTTGTCACGTCCAACCAAGTCTGCGCCTTCGTCCTGAAACCAAAGTCCGCCCGAACAGAAACACTAGACACCTCCAATGAACAGAAAGCCAGCAACAAGGGTTGTAAAATACCTGCACAACCGCTTCTAAAACCCTAGTTAAGACACCACTACTAAGCCCAAGCCCTAAACCCTAACGAAAAGCCCGAGTAGAGCCCTTAAAAAAAGCATCATACCTTGAGAGGTCGAAGGCTCATTGCGACAGCCTCCTGAAGATGAGCATCTCATCTTGGCGGGTCTGGACGCACCAAACGCCGCTGGGACTTCTGCAGAGGGGTTTAGGGGTTTAGGGTTTATAGGGTTTAGGGAGAGGTGGGGCTACGATACGGGTTCTATAAAAGTATATTGTCAAGGGTACGATAAGGTACTGCAACGGGTTTAGGGCTTGAGGCTTTGCCCTGTAGGCGAAACGACGTAACTCACCTGCACTTAAGCTGGTGGAAACCATGTTCAGGATCCCTAGAACGTATCGGTTTATCGCAGCGACGTGTGGGGCCTCGGGTTCAGGATGAGGGTCCAAACAAAGGTTGCTAGTTCTGGAGTTTCGAGTTTGGGAATCAGCGACTCTGTGATTTTATGGGACATGGCATTTGCGATCGGCATTCGGAAATCTGGCCAGCACAAGCCTAAAGCTTCGGCAAACATTGCCCGCCTCATGAGGCCTTCGATCATTGGACAAGTGATTGAAACAACAGAAAACGCTTCGTTGTGCAAGCGACTTGCGCCACAAAGCCAATTCCCGGTCCCGAGTTTTTGCAGACAAGTTACACATGGGCAGAGTCAGAGTCTGAGAAATGCGGTGGTTTAAGAGAGACTGGCCCCAAGGGCGATAAATCTTTTTACTTCAGGATTACTCATAGCCTGTCGTCGCAAAGGCAAAGCAGTCGGAAGGAGGAGGAGGCCAAGAAGAAGTACGAGCAGGAGACGCATGCAGTGCGTTTTCATGCTCCGTGGAAGCCCGCGAACTCCTTTCCGGAGACTCAGTGTGAGGGGTTCGTCGCTCGAGCTTGTGGGGTTGATGGGAGTTGAGAGCTCAGGGCTTAGGTTTTGTTGCGAGGTTGAAGGTGTAGGAGTATATACTTTGCAGGTTTTGATACTGAGAGCTTCGCATTTTCTTTGTCATCCAGGTTGGTCTGGGCTTACCCGGCACGGAGTGCCCGGTTGCAACACATCCCCCGAAGCTCACCCTAAATTCCCTAAATCCTATTGTAGGGCCTTTACAGAGTATCGAAGAAGATCTCGGACAGGACATGGCCCGAATCCGCCGTCTGGAGGTCGGGAATGCCTTGCAGACCAGGATTTGAAGGGTTTCGAGATAGGCCTAGTGACTTTCTGCGTTTGGGTCGTGATCTCACGAAAGCTCACTAGCCTGGCGGCTGAGTTCTTTACAAGTTCTCGTAGATTCATTCTGTTCAAACGCCAGCAACCGGAGGCCATTGATCCTGAAACGCGAGCCAGAAGCCTCTAGCAGCATCTCTTCGAAGCTAAGCGGTTGGAGTGAGCCACCAAAATCCGAAAAAAGTGAACGTTGGAAGCTCGAGGTTTCCAGGGGCCTGGGGCCATGTGCATTCCAGGGGCTGCAAGCCCACAAACAACAATCTACATTGGGGGCCTCAAGCGCCTCCATAATCTACATGCGTTGGGTTAATATATGTTATGATAAACATATACCACAAAAAGCCTGTCCCATGTCTCGTTTCGAGCCCCAAGGAGTGGAACCTGCCTTGTTCTGTTCCCGGAGTTTCCGAAAGACAGCATGAATTCTGAAACGCTGAAATGTCCACTCCCCTCCCTGGGGTCCTCCGCACAGGTGGAGAAGGCTGACAAGGCAGCCGAGGTAGCGGGCCTCAACATGTTCCGCAAGGCACGACTCGGGTGCTTACAGTGCTTCGGTAGGGGCTTTGTGCAAAGAACAAGGGCTTTGCAGGCGTCGTCCTTCTTCTTCGTTGAGATGCTGGAGTTTTTGTCGTCATACCGTGTCTGTTCATTTGTAGAAGTATACATGTACGTCAGAGCCCTGTACGGCTCTTCAATCTTGTCTGTGTCTCTTGGAACTTAATCTGGGGGTTGAAGTTTAAAATGCCTTTCTTAAGCCCTGACTAAGCCGTAAACCCCAAAGTCCCAAAGCACTTTAACTCTGAACCATCCGCTGCCAGGTCATGAATGACAACCTTGGCCTCATCGTTTCGGAGTGGAAAGACTTCACCAAAAACGAGCTCCTCCACAGGACTCCTGAAACCCCAAGATCTGAGCTGTAAAGTCTTTAAGCCTTAATCTTACCTTTGGTTAGTAGGGAATGGAGCAATGGGGTACAATTATAACTGCTATTATTACTACCATTCTTCCATTCTTCCCTACTAACCAAAGGCCCCCATATTGTAGTACCCTTATATAGATCCCTTATAGTAACTAACCAAAGGTAAGTATAATCCGTATAAGCCGTCGAAGAGCCTGGTTGACATTGGAAGGTCAGGGCTGAAGCGAGCCGAGGGCTTCAGGCTGCTAGGAGTCTTGCGTCGGGGTCCTCCGTCTGCGAGATTCAGGAGGAGGTTGAGTGCCAAAATTTCAGGGAAGGTCGAAATAGGAAGTAAGAGCATCCCTTCAGAATCCCGATGCGAGTATGTTGTAAGATTCTCCCAAGCCCTATTCTGACGCTTACAGCCCATTACTGTGCGGCACAAGCGGCGCGAGAGCTCCGGTCGAAGGATCGTCTCGTTTCCTGACCACAGGAGGGCGGATGGACGGCCCATGTTTCGTCGGCCCGATGCAACACCCTAAACTTAACACTAAGTAGGGTTTAGGGTTCCCTAAACCCTAAACTTAAGACTAATTAGAGGCAAAAGCCCTCCGAAGCCCTGTGCCCTGAAGCTATATCAAACCCTAAACTTGCACCGTTCACTACATCGTAAACCCCAAACCGGCCCCACACCCTTAGGTCTTGAAGACTGTGCAGCACGAAATTTGTTGGGTTTCTCTGCTCAATTTTCACCACACAGTTGCGAGGTGCAGAAGCCTCTAAATTCGACCTGCAGACGCGTCAAGCCCGTCTGTATAGTGGAGACTTTGTGTGGGCATGCCTTACCTTCAGTCCCAAACGTAAATTCCGTGGCCAGGAAGCTGGAGAAGGACATGAGGGACACGAAGAACCACATTGACAGCTTGAAGAAGGACCTCGGCTCTGATTTAATGAGCAGTTTTGACTCCAACAATATGGAGACGCAAGCTTTGGGGGAGACGAGCGCCACTCATGATTTTCCGATGACCAGCTAGTGGCACCGTAGGGATGTGCAGGGCTTGCGGCACTACGGGCTTTCAGGAATTAGGGTTTGGGAGCTTCTGGGGTTAACGTACCATGCTTGGTACATACTTCGTCCTTCCCTGGCCGGGGCATGGTAGTCTCCAAAAGCAAGAGACCCCACGACAGAAGAGTCTGAAAAATGAGAAATTTGGAACATTCCCTTACGACGTGCTTGTCTACAACATACTACAATGCACAAAGAAGCCCAGTCGAAGAGTTTAGTTGGGCGATCAAGTTTATGATCAGGCCTGCGGATGAAAGTCGGCGTGCCCGAACCGCTGATCTGCTAGCCTCTCCTTTAATTTCATCCCGAAGGGTATGCCAAGTGAAATCTCGGAAAGATCGGAAGAGCTCGCAATCCAAAATTCGAAATCTCCGCAACCTTTCCCGAGGAGGCACGTGCAAAAGGCGAGCGAGTGCGCCATCTGGTCGCCCAGAACCTCCTCGCCAAAGACAAGAAGGCACCGACATTTGGGGCAAAGACCACAAACGGGCCCAAACGGCCAAACCCACGTTGGAAGCTCCAGTGGGCTGGCTTGATAAGACCCTGCATTGGAGCTGAAGCAGATTAGCTGTGAGTCTGTGCCTGTGTTTATCGGATTGGAGGTGTTGACAGCAGTTGCGTGAGGAGGTTTTACATGGATCTTCCTAGAAAGAGGGGCTACCTGATCCAGGGCTCCGTACAATCGGGGATTCTACTAGACTCGGTAGGCTCACTGGTCCCGTGGCAATCACCTTCAAACACTTAAGCGTATGTTTCATGTCACTGCAGAACCTTCAATTGTGCCATGCTGTTCCGCATGGACACGAAACCCCGCTGTGGAGGCGAAGCAGTGAAGGACCATGTTCAGATATTTAGCCCAAACTGTCATCTGCAGTGATGCCAGGAAGTGTTGAGCGACGCCTTCGCGAAGTGGGTCATCAACTGGAGGCGATACCTGATCCAAGACAACCCTGGCAAAGAAGATTCCCCCCACCCACCCACCCACCCACCCAGCGCAGACTCATGTGGTGCCGAGTCGAATGAAGGCTTGACTGCGGTGCACCATTCATGTGGACCCTGTAGAACACCAGTACAGGCAGGTCTGCCTTCTTTGAACCGGTTCAGGTAACTGTCAAAAGCATGCATGGAGCCTCGTAGTTGGGTATTTGGCAGATGGACTTCAAGAGCCCAGGGAGGGCTTCGTCGTGCCTAAAGACGGTCATGGGATGTCAAGCTTTCTTTTCAATGCCCAAGGGCATCTCTCGGCTCGCAGTCCCCGGTCCCCGCTTCACCGGAGCTTCCCAAAAAGGCGATGACTGGGTCTTCTGAGCCATCGGATCATGAAGTCTCCTCGGAGTTTTCCCTGGTGACAGAGGCGGGGCCCCAGGGGCCCCAGGGTGAGTCTCTGAAAGAGTGGCTTCCGGATCCTTTCCTGGCCATGAACCTCGGAGAAGAGATGCAGAGCCAGTACCTCTCCGATGCGATGCAACGGCTGAAGAACCCCGAGCTCTGGGAAAGCGCCGCTGCAGCTGAGATTCGCCAGCTTTCCTCCAACGCAGACCCGGAAGTGCGAGTCAAGCTCGATGAGCTGAGCCACAAGTACCAAGAGGTCGCGGTTCAGAAGTTACGAAGCCTCCGAGGAAACATCATGGCGATGGCGCACATCTTGGTAGAATTGCTCGCAGCTCGGGACTACGATCAGAAGATGCGCCAGGAGTGCCAGGATGAGTTGAAGGACGGCCAGAGTCTATCCAAGCGTAACAGCACCTACCATCAGTTTTGGTCGTGTGTAAGAGTGGGGTTCGGGGTTTAGCAGCTCCTCTTCGCACTTGCCGCATCTCTGACTGCATTTCGAGATTGAGCCTCCTGCTTTAGCGGAGTGCGCTTGCAGAATTGCAGAAGCCCTCCTGCACTTGTAATTCCTAAGTTGCGAAATGACTGACGCCCCCATTTAGGATGCCATCGAGAAGATCCAAAACATCTTCGTAACGCAGCAAGAGGACTACCAGGCTCATTCGGAGATTCATTTCCAGCGTGTGGTAAGCCTCTTCCAAGACTCTCAGAAAGACTCCTGGAAGTCAGCTCTTGGTGCAATGTCTGCTGTGGTAGGCACCATGGTGCCTGCATATATCCTTCGGCTTGTCTGGTTGACACTGTTCCGACCGAAGCGCATGGAAAAAACCGACATCTTGCGGCAGTGGTACAAGCCTGTCTACCGCGACCTAAACGGAAACATGCACTACAAACTGATGAGGAATAAGGAGGGTGGACTGCGGCTCAGAGCAGGATGGCTGCTGAGTTTGCTCGTTGGTGGTTCTTCAGCAGCAATCCTCCTATGCGGAAGGGCGGTTCTGTCGGCTTACTGGCATGCTCAAAGCAGCAGGCAAAAGAACGTGATGGCCAAAGCAGAATCCCTTGTGAAAGTCGAGATGCAGCAGCTCCAGTCCATGTGGCAGGGCACCTTGGCAGTTGCCCTTTAACCTTTGACATTCTTTAACCTTTGAAGTTTGCACACACACGTACATATACACATGTAGAGACACATAGCAATCCAACATATGATGCGATTACATGCGACATTAGCTTTATTGGGCCAGGGAACTCACCGCTTGTAAGGTACCCAAATGGCCGTGGATGCTGTCAGAGACACGGCGGATCGCCTCGAAAGCTCGGCCGAGAGCCGACGAACTGAGCATCGACAGAGGTTGACGAGGCAGATGCTGCAAGAGCTGCTCAGCTGCACCAGTCTTCGATACTCGACATTCTCTTATGTCTTTCTGGGCACTCTGCATGTCAAGTCAAGGTTTTTTGTGGGTTATTGATTGCAGTCACTCTGCAAGAGCTGCTTAGTTTAATAATCAGTCTTTCATAGAGGGTTTGTCTTAAAACCCTCTTCGTTAGACTACGAATTTAACAAGCAATCTTTAGAGGTGTGGGTGAGGGGGGAGGGGTTCGGGGTGCTGGGTTTTTGCTGCATCTTGAGATTGTGGTGTTCTTGTCTTCGTATCATAAGATTTTCTTGGCGCAGTAGCATTGTTTGTTTTCTTGGGTCGTTCGGAGAGTGAGGTTGTGGACAATGAGTATGGCGGTTGATGAGATGATTGTGTGGATGAGTCAGCGCGAATGCTTCCCACACAACTACTCAGTGCGCAACATGGTGACACCAGCTCGCTATGACAAGATCCTTGGTGCGTTCAAGCAAGTCACCGACAATGTGAAGCAGTCTGCAGCAGGAGGTGCCTGACTTGCCACTTTGGCAAAGAACAGATGTTGACTCATGCTTGAAAGAAAGCACTTTGAAAGCTCAGCTAGCTATCGAAAGGTTCCTTTGCCACAGTAGCTGTGGACAGCGCTTGGCACAGCTTGCTGGCCCAGCTTGATGCCGTTCCACACGCGGTTCCTCGAGACAGAAAGATGCGGCGACTGTCGATGGAGAGGTGTGTGTGTGTGTAGCTACCAGAGTAAAGCAGCTATTGTCTGAAGTCTCAACGAGGTTAGAGTACTCACGGTGTGTTTATCCGGTCCGGACATACAGCAGTAAGATGGAGGCGCGTTGTGCGTCAGTTACATACCAACCAAGCTGATCATGATGGACTTAGTACTAGGGTGCAGCTCTTCACTCGCTGCTTCGTGGATGTTCTTAGTATGGAATCATATGAAATAGCTTTCGCCGATTCATTGGTGCGTTTCAAAGGATTCATCGGTCGGGTCTGGTCCATTGAGGGTTCCGCCAATCGAGTCAACCACTTGCGCCGCATCGTCGATGTGCAGGCAACACCTCTTGGAGCAGCAGCAGCACGCGGAGAGAATCCAGCATCGCGACCAGGCAGGGTGCCGGGGACTTGAGCGTGCATGGCTTTTCTGTCTGACTTTGCCACATCTTGGAGACCATAGGTACAGACAACGCCCTTGCTCTGAACCCTTCATGTGCGTCGTCCCTGAGTACAGCAGGTGCCTTGCGTGCCTTTGTCTTTTTCCGTTGTCAGTGGAGTACTCCAAGCAATATTCTCCGAACTAAGCTTGTCTTCACTCTCCCTGCACTCAAACCCTAAACCCTCAGCACGATAAATCTGGATGCCGGAGCTCAGTCAGCGAGAAACAGCCTCTGCAGTCTACAACCGAAGCTCTCAGAACACATTCAGCCACAGGTAGAGAAGATGAAGCGATCTGAAGCCGACTCTTCGACTGTACTTTGGAACCTGCGGGTTGGGATTGGGATCGATCCATCTTGCTGAAGGAGTGCGGTTCAATGGCGTTGCAGGTATTCCACCGCACCTTGCATATTTCGGGCCGGCAATTTTTGTCATTCCAAACCAGGCATGGATGCCGTGGCTTATTCATGCTCGACGAGCGAGCGTGCCGTAGGCTTCCGAGCAGAAGGCATGGCACGAGCAATTCCCCGATTTGGGCGTGATGTCTTGCAAGGCACCTTTGGACGCAAGCATTCCCTCCATGATCCAACAGCTGACAGGTACAGCACGAAATCCTCGAGCCGTAGTACACTTCTAACTCGTGCCGTGCAAGCCATTTCAAGCTTGAGCCACAAAGTCACCAAGGAGAGGATGCAGAAGATGAAAGGCTTGATGGCTTCGCAGTTCAACTCAACAGGCCAGCATTTTGGGGCAGTTACACATACAGATTTTGTGACAGCCCGGAGCATGGTTCCTGGTACTCGGGATGTCACAGTGGGGCACGGGGCTTTCGATGTCTGTGGATTCATATTGAAGTCTTCCACCCACGAGCCCTGAACGCGAAGTGTTTTTTGTTTTTCCCTCACGAGGAATTCCTTGAAACCTGCAGCCCTGTGCCTCTAAACTTACCTTTGGTTAGTAGGGAATGGAGGAATGGGGTACAATTATAACTACTATTACTACCATTCTTCCATGCCCTACTAGCCAAAGGTAAGTAAAAGCTCTGACGTCTCTGATAGTTTGTTTCATAATGGAGCCGGCCTGACAGGAAATCGCTCCCTTCTCCATCTCTGCGCCTGCTCCTCATTTGGGGTGGACAGGGAACCCCAGGTCTTAAGCCGGCAAGGGGATATAGAGGGGCTGATAGAGAGGGGCTTCAGTATGCAAGGGGTGGCTCGAGGAGTTGGACTGCTTTTGGTTGAGGTGTCGTGTCGAAGTTAGCTTTCAGCGGGTGGTGAGATGCTATTTCCAGCCTACTGAAGCAATCAACACTTGCCATTGCTGGATTCAGGATCTCTGTGCAGCTTGGGTAGTTAAGGGTTATCTCGACCCACCTTTCCTTCAAGACTACAAAGGCGATCCAATTCCGCAGCCTTCTCCTATATTATCTGCACTCTTGAGAAGAAAGGCGTGGACACTGTGCTTAAAGCAGAAGAACTATCCCAAAGACTTCCCCCGGAGCCGCCAGGCCCGCCATAGTCCTCAGTGCTCCCCCGGTGGTCCGGGAAGAACCCCGTGAACTCCGGAAGGCGCACTCCCTGAAGCCCTCGCGAGAGCGACTGAGGTGAACAACTGGCGCTTGGTTTGGGAGGCGCTCAGAGAAGAGTGGAAGGGCCGGAAGGGTTTCAGATTCGACTTTCTGGCCAAGAATCCTGAAGGTACCAGTGGACTAGCAGTAGTTTGTCAGCTATATTCAGCTATCACATCTGACAAAACAGCTTGCTCCGCTACAACGGAGAGATGCATGCGAAAGCTTCCGGAACCGGGATCGGGCTTTGGATCGATCGGACGATGAAGCTTGTGGCTTGCAACTTTAAAACCCTAAACCCCTAAACCCTAAACCGTTTAGAGGCAGCCATTGCGGAGCGGCAGCAGAACCAGGCGGTGGAGCAGCTGACGGGAAAGCTGAGGCAGCCGATTATGGGAGGGATTTACGATTCGGGCTCTTTTTTGGCCGCCCGGCAGGTCTTCTGAACCCTATAGACCCCTAGAGCCCTAAATCCTAGAACCCTAAGCCCTTCTGAAGGGCGCGTGCGAGCTCACAGCATCTCCTGCTTGGACAAGACGGCTTGGGTTCATGCAGAGTTCCAAAGGTCTTCGTCGGAGGAATCTACGACAGAAGACTCTTGCTCCGTCGGTTTCCGGTGTATGTTGCGCAACCACGGCCTCTGTTGAACATCTACTTGCTTCATCTTGCTTTCGCTCCGTCCACCCTAGCCCTGAAGTCGCATACGGTACATCCGCTGGGACCTCGATTTGTGGCAGCCCTGAACTTGTGTTGCTGTCCACGGCCGATCCCTGTAATGCCTGAGTACAAACTCCTCACGTCAGTCTTACCTGACCTCATAAGTGTAAGCCAGATGCGAAGCCCCTGACATCTAAATCCTGAGTCATACAGACCCACTGACATGTGTATATACATATGTTTTGTCTATTTACACATACACAGACAGGTGTGCTACCGCTACTTGTTTGCCAAGGGTAGTCCTGTATTTCTACATGTAGAAGGCCAATTGTCTTTGAAGGAAGCTCTTCACCCGACACAACACAGGCAGATGGACAAGCAGAAGAATGAGATGATCAATCGCACAAAGGACCATGATTCCTGCTGTGACAGAAGTTGTTCAGCAGCTTCGATGCCAGCTGTCTTGGAGGGCTTTGCGCTCCTAGGCGTCCACACTGACCAACTGCAACAACCTGAAAGCAGAATCCTCATCACAAGCGGTTTTCTGTTGTTTGTCCCAAGCATCCTCGACCAGAGTGTCCAAACCTGATTTTGCAAATCTGGTCTACAAGAGAAAATTGTAGAATAGAATCCCCAAGCCCGATTCTAGTCGTTAAGATGTTAAGCCAAGCAGGACAAGATCTTCTTGGCCTTCGCAGGCCAATTTTTCGGGAGAGACCGGGTGAAGAGAGACCTTGGCTCGGTAGGAACTCGGGTGTAAATTAGGGCTTTGAGAGTGTTGGGGGGGAGAGCATATGCTTGCCATGCGGTTGTTCCAGGGCTGTGTATCTGCGGGCTGTGTCGCTTCATAAGCAAGGAGATGAGGGAGTTTGAGAGAATAAGCCCGAATATGTAGATTGAGGAGTAGATCCTTCATTCAGAAGTAGCTCCTTTTATAAGCTATTAGTGAGCTTAAGCATGATAGGTATCCCAGTGAGCTCCATCTCGATATTAAGACTAGTGTTGAACCTCCAAGACCTAGGACCCAAGACCGAAAGCCGAAGTCATGAAGGCCGACACCCACCGGCAGCGCAAACTGCATGAAGTCCTAAAGCCGGACCCTGGAAACCTACCTCGTCGTGTTGATAGCCTTTGCTGTAGGGAGTCCCGAAAAGGCGTGGGAATCGTAATGTCCAGGTAGGTAGCCGAAGCCCAAGACCTAAGAGTGGCACAGGCCGTCAGCGTGCAGAGTTGCTGTCTGTGGTCTTCACAGCGTGGAAGGCCGATGCGAAGGCCTTGGCATCCGGTAGGTGTATGAAGGGTTCCTTAGTTTCCTCATTATGGTTTAGAGCTTAGGGCTTATGTGGTTTGGGTTTTTGGGGCCAACCAGAAGAGCTGAGTATAGGCTTGTAGGGGTCCTGTTTGGTTTCTGCAAAGTGGCACCCAGAAGAGCTTAGGGTTTGGGGAAGGGGATTTAGGGTTTCTTGTGCAGTAGGTTGTGTGTTCGATAGCCCAGGGCCAGTTATCAGACGATCAGACGGTGCAATTTTCCCAGGGCATGCCAGGCTTCCAGGGTGTTGTCTTAGTTTGCAAGCTGTACTTTCATCGGTGCCCGATTCGAAGAAAAGACGCGGCTCTCGTGAAACCGTCTGCGGCAGGAAGAGCATCTTCTTCGTCGAAAGGCCACGCCGTGGCTCCCGGTCAGAGTCCAGGGTGTCCAAGCATTTCCTGTTGTCTTGGACTTCTGGGGTTCGGAGATCTCTCGGAGAGCCAGTGTCAGAGATCAGGATTCCGGCATGGATTCAGGGAGAATGGGGACCCCGAGCCGGAAGCCCAAAGCCCGTGTAACTACCAGAGCACCTGTTGCTTGCCAGGAGGAGCTCGCGAGCAGCTATGAGAAGGAGGGCCCTCCGAGGGGCTGTGATCTCTGAAGCTCCTGCATAATAATACCTCATCTAGAATCTAGGAATATAGTATACGACATACACTGTATATAATCCTCGAAAATAAACTCCCCCGAAGGCTTAGATCCAATAGACGCCGGCGAAGGACCTCCGAGTTATGCACAAGAAGCAGAAGGACATCGAGGCGTTGAAACCTTATGGGTTTCTGTTTCTTCGTACAGTTATTCAGGGTGTTTACTTGGGTCGTTTAGGTTGCCGAACTGAATTAAGGGTTTCAGCGAGAAGGGCTCCGCCAAGCTTTGCGATTGAATGCAAGGCTCACCACCCGAGCCTCAGAGTCTCTCAGCGGCCTCGTCGATACATTTCGGCAGTGCTTCTCTGGGGTGTACGTATCGGGGGGTTTGTCAAAGTAAGACCCTCGAGGGAACTCAGTAGGGGAGCTGGCGTCACGTTGAGGGTTCTCCTTTTCAGCTTATACCGAAATAGGGCAAATAGGACCAAAGGATGTTCCCTTTCGAAAGTCTGTTGGGTCTGTGAGACCTTCTGTTGGGCATTTTCTCAATGCAAAGAGTGCCGGTGTCCAGTGGACGTTGCATTTGTGCCGGTCTTCTGCGGCAGGTTTTAGGATTCTTGATTCCCACATTGACCTAAAGAACCTACGTGAAGATCGGTAGCAAGTACAGCCCAAAACCCTGTACTCGGCCTCAGGCCCCCCGAACCCCAAACCTCGAACGCTGAAACTCCACCACCTACAGCGGCTTCCGGCTAGAGCATCGGGAAGCCCAGCCAGTGCTCTATTGTGAGCTTAGGGGTACTTAGAAATAATTTTGATTTTTTGGTTATTATAATCCCTAAATTTGCAGCTAAAACTATAATCTTTGCTAGGGTTCTAAGTTCAGTATAGTAAGATTCGGCCTATATATACCCCTGCCAGAAGCCCGGTGTTTCCTGTGCGGAAAAATGGTGGCTCAGAGGCGCTGGCCAGAGAGAAGATGGTGAAGGGGACCCTCAGTGCATGGCCGAGAAGATGTAGAGGGGGGGTGTTGGTTTTATATAAATATTTATAGGGTCATGGTTTTGTTTACATATTTATAGGGTCATGGCTTTATATACATATTTATAGGGTGTTGGTTTTATATACATACTTACAGGGTCAGTGGCTAGGGCTAGGTTTTTTGTTTGGAGGTTTCAGGCTTTAGGGCTTAAGGATGTTCAGGGCATCAGGTTTAGGAAAGTGTTGCTGGGTTTAGGGCTTCTGACTTATGGTGGCTCAAATTCCAAGTAGTGTGGAGAGAACTTCACACCCGCGACATTCGTTTCTCAAGCTCAGATCGACAGTCAGTATCTACATTCTGATTCCTCACCCTGGTACCCTGAGTCCACATAATTACCTAAGCCTCCGACCCGAAACATCGGCCCCGCCACACCAAGGCCAAATCACTGGGGCCACTCTGTCCGTTTGCCTCCTCCAGTGGCGAAGCTACACGAAGGCTCCTGCATGGTTGGTGTGAGAGATTAAGTTAAAGGGGAAAAGGAGGGACCCTGAATGGGGACCCCTACCCTATAATGGGCCATATAATGGGTATATAATGGCTATGTTAAGGGTATGTACCTAGGGGTCCTTATTAAGGGTCCCTCCTTTTACCCTTGGATTAAGACAGACCCAGACCCGAGCCGTTGTCCGATTCCTGCGCGCCCCAACTTCTAGGAGCAGCGTCCAATCAGCCCAATCATGGGGTAATCAGAAAGGGGAATTTCTAGGGCCGAGGGTGTTGCTTTTGGCGTTGGAGGTTTTTACATCCTTTCAGGGTATATCATCTCAAGCATGCGAAGCCAAGACCTATGGTCAGGCTCCCACTGGAGCTTTTCTAACCTTTTAAAGAAGAAGCCCTAAATGCTGCCTCATGTGGAACACGCCCAGCTGCCGATTCAGGACAGCAAGCGGGAACGGAGCGAAGTTCGCCACTCAGGGGGTTGCTGAGGCATCAGGGTTGGTGTGAAGTACAATACTGTTGGTAGCAAGTATCGTCAATGAGCATCGTTGCCTTTTTCTGCTGCTCTGTCAGTAGTCAAGCACCCCATTTTTGGCCAAACATTCCGTCGCATCCCAGAACACCACTGTAGTAGTCCAGTGTTGTGGCCAACACCCTCGCCGAGGCAAGAAGCCCAAAAGGCCAAAGCCACAAAGCCCCTATGTTTCCATATGCCTAAACCACTGAAGCCTTGAACACTAAACCCACAAGCCCATCTGGCATGCATGTTGTGATGCATTCAGGACACGGGATGGGCCACATGTCCATGCAATGGCCTGTGCTGAGGCTGAAATGAGGGATCAGCTGCAAGAGGACAGGGACGGCAGTGATTTGGTACAAAGGCGTTTCAATGCTCGGGTGCTTCAGCAGAGCATGTATGCCTATCGGTTTTCGGGGTTGTAGGTTTAAAGTGTGTGAGGTGTGTAATGCAGGCCTGGTGGCTACAACATGTTTTCGCTCATTCAACACCAGGAGATCCGGCGTCAGAAGCGAGAAGCAGAGAAGCTGAACGAAGCTTGGCCCGCGTGAGTTGGAGTGCATCATAGGTGCACTTTGCAGCAGCTGCAGGGGTTCATGGGGCAGACCAAGACCCAGACCCTAACCCCGAAAAAGGTTAAAGCCCACATGCTGATGATGCTTATACGCACCGTTGGGTTTGTTCGGTCCCATGGTTCTCCGCAACAGTGTTTTGCGAGGCCACTTCTAAGTCGATTGTGTTCTGAGCAACAGCCCAAAACAAAAGAGCAAGCTTCTGCAAAGGATCAGGTGTGTCTTGACTTCTTCGCGCGTTTTGTTCCCCCCTAAGATGTCGCCCTGGGCCGATATGTTTCCCCGAAATTTCGGAGCTCGGACCGAGGATGCGAAATCCCGGCAGATCGCCCTGAACATGGTCAGTCCCGGACTCGGCCTTCTCACCAGGGACCGTCCAAAATAATAATAATAATAATAATAACAATACTAATAATTCTAATAATAATAATAGTGCTACCTCTCAGAGAACTAGTGACACCAGTGTAGGGTTTGCAGGGCTTAGTTAGGGGGTTTAGGGGATTGAAGGTGTAGGGGTTTAGGGCGTAGGGTTTAGGGTTTAAGGGACCTCAGAGAGATAGGGAAGAACACTCCAAACCCGAGTCTTCTTCAGGCGAGATGGGGCTTGAAGTATGAGCCCACCTACGGCGTCCCCGGATCCTGAACCGAGCGAGAAAGAAAGGACAACGCTGGAATGGTAGCAAACCAGAGAAGAAGTGCGAACGACCTGCATGGCATAGCAGAACCAGCCAAAGATCATCTTTAGCGGTTCGTCTCTCATGCTCCTGATTCGCGACCGGCGAGGCTCTTCGCTTGTATTTCTCCTGCTGCGTCTACTTACGTGGCTATCCATCGATCCTACAACGAGCAAAAGCTCCAAGCGCTTTGAAGCCGGGAACAACCTCCGGAGAGTCGGGGCGATAAGTCCTCCGGATCAACCGGTTCCGTATCAAGTCACCAGTCACCGTCCAACAGCTTGTATCGGTGAGGCTGTCAATGCTTCACCGCCTCATGGTGTTCACGGAGCAACCGCACGTTACATATGAAGCTTTTTAGACCAAGGAACACTAATAGAGATCCGCCCCAAAAATCCTGATGCCAACCCCAACAAGAAGGACCCGATCTCACATCAGACTCACATCCCTACAGTCCCCCGAAAGCCGAAACCACAAGACGCATCTCAAATTGGTCTTTGCAAAAGCAGTGTTCGAAGTACTTCAAAAAGCGCCAGGTGCCCCAAAAACCCTCAAGACCCTACCAGTTCAGCTCCTCCATAGCCTCAAATCGTCGAACCTCAAGCCCCTAAACCCTAAGCAGGTCCTAAACCCTAAACCCTACAACCCCTAAACCCTAAACCCCAAACCCCAAACCCTACAAACCCTAAACCCCAAGCCCAGGCTTCGAGCGCAACAGCACCTTATCCGTCTGCGTCGTTGCGTGGCGCCAGGCCACGCAGGTGCCCCCGTGGCTTTGAAAGCACCCCCCCAAAAGGGTCCCCGGTACTTCCCCAGGGTTCCTTTAAGGGTTCTTTTAAGGGTTCCCCTTTAAGGGGTCCTTGTGGTACTGTTATGGGGGATACTTCCCCAAATGATAATAGTAATTCCGATTATAGAAACCCTAGATTTTACCATATAGGTACTTTGGAGCCTTTGAAGAGACCCCAGGCCGTTGGGGGGCAGTAGCATGCAGCACCCACAACAGTATGCGGATGTGTATGTAGGGCTCAATTTTCGCCGTGCTTTGGCGCCTTTCTGAGTTTCGGCGGCCTGAAAGCTGACAAGCTTGATGCCGTTCATGTCCGCGAGGGGTCTGAGGTTTGCGGGGTTTGCGGTTCAGGTGTCCATGGGAGCATGGTTTGAAGTGTGGGTTGTTGTCCAACGCCGCGCTCGCCCCTAGCCCAAGTGCTTCAGCCCAAACGAAATCTGGAAATAGGGGAGGCTGTCCCCCCTAACTCGTGCAGCTATGCTGGCAACCTGAATAAAGCAATGCCCCGATTCCGTCTCAAAAAGATCACCCGTTACTCGAAATGCCCGACTCCAAGTTCGAAGCCCCAGAGTCGAATCCCCATAACTGTTGGACCTCAGCTGCAGCGAATTCCGTGCTAGGCTTCGAAGCGCGAAGCCGATGAGGCTCGGCGATGCCCCAAGAGCAGCTTATGGGCCTATGGGGCCTTCCTCAGCTATTAACGGATCCTGTGCTCAGGCGGTCTTGAAGACTGAAGATTCGTACTTGTATTGCTGTCGGTTCTACACTTGAGTTTCGCATTTGTCTGAAGATCACATCTTTTCTTGGAGGGTTTCTTCTGAGATGTGGGTTCAGGGTGGCCGAGGAGTGGTCCCAGTCGTTTCTGTTAGGGTTTGAGCATCGACGTTTTTTGGGGTTTAGGCTTGTTGCGGTTAACGGGTTTCGGATTCCAGGGTATAGGCTTGTGGGATTTAGAGAGTGTGCGGTTCAGTAGCTTTCGTGTCCGGTGTCTTAGTCAGATGACCAAGGCTTCGTTTCGGGGATTCAGGGTTCCATTTCGTAAATCCCAGAACTCCAAGACCCAAAGCGGCGAACTTCAAGTAGACTTAGATAAACCCTAAAGTGGCCCTAAAACCCAACAGACCCTACACCACATGTTCGACCTAAACATCAAGCCAGCAGGCTCTGGGTCGCCAGAAGGCGCAGCAGGAGACTTTTGTTTCGGGTTCCTGTTTGGGGTTTGGGGTTTCGAAGTCGGCTCCTCTTCACCGTGGGAGTCTGCCAAGATAGCATCAGTACATGGTTACAAGCATGTACAGGCTACATACATCCAGCTCTTCCTCCTTGCACCCCATCCAGACGAATGCATGACTGACAAAGCGACCGGACTGCAATTCCCAGGCGAGGTTTATTGCTGTTGGACTTGAGGGCAGTGATGCACATCACATCTGTGGCCTTCTGGCGAGGAGTACACGCAACTGAAGTTAGAGAAAGACAAGGCCATGAATGCTACTTGGATGCAGCACCCTTGTCCGGTGTCCGATGGCCTTTCGTTGGGTATGATCACCCTTGCCTATAGTCTCCACTAGTTCCCTTGTTTTGGCTTAACCAATTCTATATTTAAGATCCTATAAGGTATCTCCAAGAAGGGAACTGCAACAGACACTATAGGTATAACATAAGCGCACAGCAACAACCCAAGCCGAGGGCCTTTACTGGCAAGCTCCAGAAACTCTGACTCGACCCAATCCCTTAGATTAGGCTCCAAGGACTCATGCACATGGTAGAGCAGATGCAGCTTTCCTGTCACCATATTCTCACAAACGCTTCTTCGTCCAAGGACGAGAAGGAAGGGTCAAATGTTGTCAGCATGTAATTCCCCACATCTGCGGGTATAAGATTGAGCACGAATCATGCCGTAGCTTGCCTCTGCATATCATCGAAGACTAAACCCTCCAGACAAGGTGACACGAGATCGCATGGCCGTCCGGCTTTTGGGTGGACGCCTCAGCAAAGTTTCTCGAACCCAGGGCTCTCGCTCCAACGGCCCATGGCTTTTGGTCCCAAACCCCCAGCGCTAAACCTTGAACCCTGGCAACAGATAATGTAGGAACCTGATCGAGAAACCCTGGCCCCAAAACCTCAAGATAGTAGGATTCATATAAGGAACCCAAATAAAGGCCCAAGGTTTCTTAATCAGGTTCCCGCATTAGCCTTCTCAAGGTTTGGACGGCACGAGGCGGTGAGGATTCGAGTTTGTTCACAGCTGTCCCCAGAGATGGCTGAAACTGCATCTCATGAGACTGCTTCCGCTCTGCCTCGCACGAAGTAGTAGTAGTAGTAGTAGTAGTAGTAGTAGTAGTAGTAGTAGTAGTAGTAGTAGTAGTAGTAGTAGTAGTAGTAGTAGTAGTAGTAGTAGTAGTAGTAGTAGTGGTAGTAGTAGTAGTAGTAGTAGTTCGAAAGGGCTTGTAAGGGTTAATCGTTCAGTGGGTATTGTCCATGTAAAGGATTGTACCATTGATTTCAACAGTTTTCTGTATGTCGGAAACAGTGTTCCCTTATCGTCTATACCTATGTAGCATCATCTGACCTAAAGCCTTGTTCCAATTGCCCACACCCTTTCATGTGCACCGCGGGTGAACAATCATCTTTCTGTAAGGTCCCTTGATCTTGGAGGATCCGCATCATATTCCTGCTTAGGTAGGCAGGTTGACTAATCAGAGGTCTGACTACAAACCCCAAGATTTCAGCGAAACCCTAGAGGTCACCAGCAGTCTCATCTCCTCTCCGCGGTCTTCACACTTTGGAGAGGTGCGTCCAAGGACCGATGACGTGGGCTCTGGGCTGGTTTACCAAAGGAACCTCCAGCATGAGTAGTCGCAGTTGTCCAGAAATATGTCCCAATGCCCTCGTGCAGTCATGCAGGCCTGTGTTTGAGGTTTGGATTATGTAGAGTTTGGGGGCTTTGGATTGAGGGGCCCATTTTGGGTCCTGGCCGGGACACCAACTACGTTCCCAAATCCCAGCTGAGCACCAGTACTCTCGACCCTCTCAGCCTTGACCCCTGAACTTCGGCGAAGGCTTATTAGAAGCTTATTGCAAGCTCTCAACACGCAAGCGCGACAGTCCATCCAGAGCGATAAGCAGCTTGTCATTAAATGCCCTCCAGAACAGCACGGTCCAGCCCAGAACAGCTTCTGGCCTCCAAGCTTCAATGCTTCAGGAGGAAAAGATGTCCCGGCAGCAAGTCCGTGCCCGAGAGTATGCTGCTACTTCTAGTTTCTGCAAGACTCACTTAAGTTGTGTTTTTTGCAATCGATGTCCCTCCTCCAAGATGCATGCTTGTGTGTCCGCAGTGACTACTTGCCGCAAGACCTTGTCAGTGTCGCTCCAGGCCCACCTTTGGGAATCTTGAAGTAGGGAAGCTGGCCGTGCACGGGGAAACGCCCAAAGTCGCAATCATACCCATCCGTAGACCGTAAACCTTGAAAGTTTCCTGAATGTCCAACTCCCCCAAACCGCGAAACAAACAGCGAGCCAAATTGCCCAAAGCAACGAGGCCGACAAAGATCGAGCCAACAAGATCGAGCTGGCGAGGTTAGATGGCCTACGAAGGGCCTTGCCGGCTCGGTGTTTAGTTTGGGTTTCGAAGGCTGCTGCACGGGTCTTGTCATGGTTGTATTGTATGAGGCTCTTGCTTTGGGTTAGGGCCGTTTACGTCCTTTCATAAAGGGTGTTTGCAAACAGGGGTCTAGTTATAAACCCGAAGCCAGCAGCCCTGATCCCTAAACTCCTTGCCTGAGCCCTAAAGCCGCTATACGGGAGTTTCCGAAAATAGGGGACCCTAATATAGTACCCTATAAATAGTAGGATGCTTATTATAAGGACTCCTAATTGTCGGAAACTCCCATATCCCTCAACCTCAGCCAGGAAGCGGCAAAGATGAAAGCGCACAGTCCGGGCCTTGAAATTCAGGGCTCTTGTCAGTGTGGCTCCCCGGTCCCGTAATTTATGTGGCTGTCATGAGGCCATAGCTTGTGATTCTGCCCTAGGCGTCAGCGAGTGGATCAAGTATGGTTCAGGGTATACCCTAAACCCTAAATCCTAAACCCTAAACCCTAAACCCTAAATCCTAAACCCTAAACCCTAAACCCTAAATCCTAAACCCTAAACCCTAAACCCTAAATCCTAAACCCTAAACCCTAAACCCTATAGTGTGAGAGTTGATGTGGGCAGTCCTTCTTTGAACCCCCGTTCTGGCTGCAGCTTCCGGGCTCCCCCACGCGGGTGAAAAGGCTGCTGAGTGTTTGAAGGTTTCTCTTCGGGCGTCGGGGGCGGATGTGAAGTAACGCGTTTTTTCCATGCATGCTTGTTCTAATCTAAGCCATAGCCACCTGGTCTCTTCAGACTTCCGGAATCCCTAATTGCCCAAGCCCAAACCCGTAAAAATCAGCCGCTACGCCCTCCACCCCGAACGCAGTGCTCGTTTAGGTTTAGGATATACTTCATGACTACTGTATCTTCAATCCTCACGGTCTTCAGGCTGCCTATCTATTTCCCTTTTTGACTCGTGGGAACTTACAACAGACGATTGGCGACGGCAATACTGGTCCGTAAGGCCGTAGGCTTACCTATTTCACGACTACGGTTGATGACATAAACCCTGCATTTCCCATAATATGGAGTATATGGGAATTATGGTATTATGGGTCATGCAGGATTTATATCATCAACCGTATATACCCCAAGGCCCCCTTCCAATTAAGTATTCAGGCCTATTCATTTTACACACACACACACATGACGCATGCATATGTATGCATGCACTAACCGTGGAATATGTGTGTATATGTATATGTACATATATATATATATATATATATATACACACACACACATACTGTTACATAGACCTCAGTCAGGGGGGTTGGCTGTCGGGACCTCCATGTCACAACGGTCTTAGACTGCAGCTTGTGGTTCTGTTGTTTTGTGGTTCGGTGCACAGGATTTCGGACTCGAGGATGTTTTTTTTGTTTTTTTTTGTGCGGTTTTTCGGGTGTAGAGACTGAGGATTCCAGGCGCCTTGGGTTTACGGGGTCAGGGGAGTCAGAAGGGTGTTCGTTGCTGCGTGCGTGGGCGACGTCCTTCATGCCGGCAGCTACCAGGGACTTCGAGGTGCTCTCGTCGGGTTTGTTGGGGCTGGCGTCCGTGTGCAGACTTCGGGACTGGGGATTGACAAGAAGGCAAGCATAGTGTTGCCGTTTTTATGGTCGCATTTATCAAGTTCCCGAACAACAGCTCCAAGATGTGACGCTTAGTGTCCTGGGGATTGTCAGGCGGAATCTTGGACTCTTAGTCCCATTGGCGGCTACTGTAGCAAAGCAGGCCACAAGGATCGCTTGCAGATTTGCCTATCCTCTAGGTCCCCTAAATCCCGATCACCTATACCAGGTGCTACAAGCCTTGGGGAATAAATACATGCACCCCGCTGAAAGCGCACCTCTGCAAAGTGTGCGGAATCTACCTTCCTTCTGTCGCAACACCATGGAGGTGGAGCAACGCGGTCACAAGATGTGCAAACGAGGTGGTGGCGATGAAGATACTGCTGCTGCTGCTGCTGCTGCTGCTGCTGCTGATGACTGTCAGTATTGCTACCGATGGTGCTCTCAACTATTCTCATGCCAGTCTCGCATTATCAAAGCCGGTATTGTTGACATGAAGTGTTGTTGCCTTTTCTGTTGCTACCGCATGCCCAGACTCGGAAGCTTGCAAGTATCCTGTTTGCCCTCAGTCTTCGAGGTTGAGTGTTCTGTGGCATCTTGGCTCAAAACTGACGCTGCCAAAACGAGGGGTCTCCAGCACTTCCGATTCTTAGTTGTTGTTCATTATCATTGTTGCTTCTGTATCTCATTCAAGATTAAAGTGTCATGTGAGCAATTCTCAGGAGCACTCTTCAGGCCCCTGTAGTGCACGCCGTTTCCGGCCGGCAATGCCTACTCTGTCTAGTATCCACACGTCGTGGTGGCCAGAACCATGTTTCCAGGAGTCGTGCGACACTGTCGAAGCCCAGGCGTTCTGGCCTTTTTGTGCCTGGCTGCATCAGCTCTCCTAGTTTTGGGAGTAACATCTCCTGTGGAGGAGGCCTGGAACAGCTGTCAGGAGGAGTGTCATGAATCCGCTTCATGTTTCGAGTCGACTGCCGCGGGCTCACGGGCTTGCATTGGCGACAGCCGCAAGTGCTGGGAAAGATACCAGTGTTCCCGGCACGACAGTTGCCCAAAGTGTGCTTTGCTCTGGGAAGAGGAGCAGAAGGCGCATGAAAGCCTGGCTAATTGCAAGAGCCGCTGCAGGATCAGCCCAGACCTGCCCCTGCGTGGCAGACAGCTTTCTCTTTCACTTAGCTTCCTCGCCGTGGTCAGCTGCCTTCATTTCGAAGCAGCTCAGAAGGGTGGCCAGGAAGGCAGGGAAGGGCGGAAAGTTGGCTGTTGTGGCGGTGGCGGTGGCTGTGGAGACTCTCCGGGGGCCTGGCTGTGGCTCGGAAGCTGCGCCCTGGTCCCGAGCATGCTCTTTTTGCTGGCCTACCTGTTTCTACAACACCCAAAGTGTCCTGAAGTGTGGGAAGACAAGGCCAAGGCCGATTGTCAATTCATCCTCTACTTTGCATTCGCACCTTTTTCTATGCCTATACCCCAAAACTTGTTGCTTGTCAGCTTTGCAGTGCCGACCGTCGCTGCATGCTGCTGCCTGACCCGGGCACGTTTCCTCCTGTTTGAAAGCAAAGATGGGGACCTTGTGGAAGTCTAGGCAACCGAGAAAGCCCCTTTCCCTTTTGCTGAGCCTCCCTCTGGCATATCCCCATATCCCAGATCAGACAACATGGAGCCTTTGACCCTAAACCCTAATCCGTAACCCTCGTGTTTCGGGTCATCTGTTGCCTTCTCGAAAAGGGAAAGGGCTGCGAACGGTGGCGGACTTACATCCACCTGTATGTGTGCACTGATGCCTTGCCCGCGCTGGAAGGCTTTGTAGAGAGGAGTCGGAGTGCGATGTAGGTTAGTCCTAGTGCAATCAGTAGGACAGACCCCAACACTAAGACCCGCACGTATACAGTTAGCCTACACACCCCAAACCCATTATCGACGAGAAACCCAGGCACTCCAAAACCACCGAAAGCCTTCCGGCCGTGGCCTTTCTTGTCACATTGCACTCAACGCTGTGGTGCCGTTCCAGCCTCGTTTGACCCAGCAATGGCGGAAGTGAAATGGAGAACCAGGTTTCGGGGATTCGTGCTCAAGGTGGTTTCATTACAGTAAGTTTTCGGTGTAGAAAATACAAAAACTAGACCTTAGCTTGGGGGTTCAGAGTTCATGCTTTCACGCCTTGTAGTCTTGAGCGCTTGTATACTGCTCGCCCGGACAGGCACAAGCAACCTGACCGCCGAACTACAAAGAATCCTAAATGAGTCTGAACTCCATGCCGCAAAGCAGTTGTGATGCCGGAAGCTTTTGGAAAACGCCGCGCCAGGTGACGAACATGGATCTGGCTTTCCGCCCGCTGATGGCCAGAGTCGATGAGGGTGTAAGTTTTGGGGATTGACGTGCGTTGGCTCGGAGTCTTCTGGGTGCCTGTATAGGCCCTATACGAAGCATGAAGTTAGTTTAGGGCGGTAAAGCACGGTGATGCTTGCTACCTAAACCCCCAAAGTAGGGACCCCAGGTACGCATTATTCCGTCTGTGTCGGCCCGGGGACCTCAAATAACCCCATGTACGATGTAAGGCTTGTTGTGACCTCCAGTGGGGCTCAGGGTGTTGCAGGGATGCTACTTTTCTTTTAACATATACTGTAATATAATAAACAGCACAAGTTCCCAAAACCCTGAACCCCGAATACTGAATCCTTCCACTTCCAGCTCAGATCCTCAACCCCGAGAAGCTCCAAGCCCCCAAGGCATCGCAGCAAGGTTCTTCCAGAAGCACCACGAGTCTCTGCTGGCTGCACCTTGGCCCACAAATGGGTGGTTGTCAATATTAGGGTCCCTTTTTGGGGTCCTTATTATAATACGGCACCTAATATGTAGGGCACCAAAAAAGGACCATAATTTTGACAATCACCCAAATGAAGCAGGGTATGGGAGTTATGATAGGGTTTTGACTGAGGGCTTTCTACGAATTTCTACGAGGGTTTGCATGAGTGGAGTTTCTAAAGGGTTTATATACGTTGTTCTGATGGTGTACCTGACAGGTCGTATTATCCAGGATTTGGTCCACATCCTTATAGTGTACCCGAAATCTTAGCCCATTTATTGAGGCCCCTTTTTGGAGTAGGGTGTATAGGGTTGTATTCGGGCCATGGTGCTGCGGCAGCTTCCGAAAATGAAGACCCTGAAATGGGAGGACCCTTCGCAAAAAGTCCCGAAAAAGAAGCCATTGACCCTCGCCCCCAGCCGTATAGCCTGAGCCCTACACCCCTTATATAAGCACTCGGATATACTTCTTGAAATGTGAAACCCAAAAGACGCCTAACATCCGACAGCCTCGAACCGAAGTGTAGTGGCCGAGGTACCCTCTCGGATCTGGATATCCTCATGCGCAAGTAATTGCGCTCCCACCCGCTCCTCCTTCAAACGGAGCTTTACAGCAACCCTAAGAAGCCGCACTATGCACCAAGAAACCCCTCACCATACACTTCAAACTCCCTTGCTGCAGGAGCCCTTATCACGGAGAGCTTTATGAATCAAAACATGCATGCATGCCCAGGAGATGTTCATTCAGTTCCGCCGAGCTTTGCGCGCTTGGGGTTCGATCTCGATGCCTTGGAGTTGGAGTTGGAGTGGTTTCAGGGAGGCCTTGCAACTCTTGTGGCTCACAGGGCCATAGTCGTCGGTCTCAGATGTTTGGGCAGGTTGAGTGCGGATACCGGTTCCTGATTGGCACAGCTAAGCCCTAAGTCCTGCAAGGCTACAAGTGCTACTAAGCATAAGGCCCGAATACCTGTAGTAGCGGGGGGGGGGGGGGTTAAGTCGAAAGCAAGACTTATCTGGAGGTCGAAACCTTAAACCCTCCTCTCAGGGGCCCTAAACCGAAACCCTTGCTTGACCCTTTGTTCTCCATGACAGGCAAGTCTGTCGAGATCCAGATCGAAGAGCGAAAAGTCGAGGAGGCGAAGAGGCAGCACGAGGCTCCGCTTGCAAAATCGCGATGCGCCCCGCTGTCAAATGTAGAGGTCTGAAGCAGTTCCGGCAGCTTCCAGCATTTGGGGTGCTTGCAAAATCGCTGCAACCCCCCCCCCCTGTCAAATGTAGATCTCTGAAGCACTTACAGAATCTGGGGTCAGGTTGGTTGAATGATGGGGCAGCCCCGATGCCAGGAAGACCGGCGGAAGATGGAGCAGCGGCACAGAGCGGACCTTACAAGCACCCACCAGCAGCGGGGATGTTTTGCACGAGAAGGGCATCTTCCGTGTGGATATACAATGCTGTAGGGGAATCGCAACCTCAAACCATGAACCCCTGGCGTGGCCGTCTGAGTGGTTGCCCCCCGGAACCCTGCTATCATGTTCTCTAAACCCTCTTCCCAGAACCTCCGCGAGCCGCATGACGCAGCCCCCTGCTGCCAAGATGACCGGCGGGCGAAGTTCATTGCACAGTCGGTGCAAGGCTGGTTCTTGCAGTCCCTGAACCCCTAAACTCCCAATCCCTAAACCCCGGTTTAGGATCAAGAACTGTCCTGCATAGAGGGGTTTACGGTCGAGGATTTGGATAGATCGCTCACTGTAGCGCCTTCGTTGGGGGTAAAGGGCTTGTCCATCCTCCGAAAAGGACAGCCTGTTGAGATCCATCCCTGGGTGGAGGTTCACGAGAGGCTCCTTTTTCCGGAAACCGGTTTGTTGGGGGAATCGACCCTCAATCCACGCGCAGGGAAGGAGCGGATGATGCTGCTGTCTATTGTGAAGCAGAGCTCTCAGATACGGATGTTGTGCTCGCTGGTGTAGGTCCGTTGCCTTCGTTACAAAGCACAATTAATGATTCCTAAGTCCAAGCGCTGAAACCCGCAGGCGAACAACAAGACTTCTGACTCTGAGTGAGTTGCGCCGCTGTGCCATCGACCAGGAGCTTTAAGGCCTAAATTGCGTGGGCTTTGCAATCCAGAACCAAATCGAACTCGTTGCGAGTTCGATCATCTGGGAGGGGGGGGGGGGGGTGCCAAAAACAAGTCCCCACAACCTTACTCTAAGTCTAAGTGATACTTATTCAGGCCTGTATGTTATAGGTGTCATGGTATCGAGGTAGGATGGTTGCTTTGGTTCGGTGCTTGTTGGACCTAAGATGCGAGCCGTGTTTCCCTTTGTTTCGGGCCGTTTGAGACATGAGACTGACACTGTTGGATTTCGCCAATGCTGAGGCGCTGTCTCGTGGCGTGGTCCCAGCAGGCGCGTGGCTGGACATTTCTTCGGCTCTGAGTTTTCTAAGTATGGGTTATAGTCCTGTCAGCGCCTCGGTCATCTTCAGTTGTCGGGTACCGAGAGAGCCCGATTCCAATCAACTAAGGAATACTCGTAAAGTTCAGGCCCTAATTTAGGCCGGTTGTGCTCTCTAGGTAAGTCAGCCCAGTCCTGCTTCCTCCCACAGGCCCATTCACAAAGCCCCCGTCTCCAACCGGTTCCAAGCACTGCTAAGAAGGGTCAGATGCGCCTCATGTATGCCACGTGGGTCAGCATTCGTGAATCGTAAGATCTCAATGCTTCGTGCGGCGCAAAATCGCACATCTAGAAAAACCGCGAATCCCGCGTCATGCACCCCACGTTTGCAGCACGTATCCGCCAAAGGCCGGTAACATGCTGGTGCTTCTTGAGATGCGAAGATGCGGCAGAGGGTTTAATGTTTAATGGTTCTGGGCTAGCCTTTAGGAGGGCTGTCTGGTTCTGGTCATGAGTCAAGGGCTCAGAGTCTTAGGGGAGTTACTACTGATGGTCAAGACACTGCAGTATCCATCATAAGGAATACACGATGTTTTCCGCAACTTCGGGTACGCAAGGCTATGCAGCAGCTTGTGATTCGGCATTAGGTGCTTGGCCAAGTTGCAGGGTACCTCCTGAAGTTGCAAACTCGATGTATTGCATGTATCATGCTCTCTTATCTTGGCATTCGCATCGTGACAGATGCGATGGACGGATGGCCGTACACATATTCACTAGTTCCAGCAATCCCTGGTTGTGTTCATGACCCTCAAATCCTCCCGACACGATATGCACCGCATCACTTTCATGAGGGTTCAAAGGATTAAGACTCCGATGCAGCAAAGCTGTACCAGCTGACTCTAGACCCAACCTATCAGGAGTGACAGAACTCATACGAAGGACCATGTGCAACATACGGAATTGACATGCGGGATTGAATATGCACGGAGGTGGTGGAGAGTCAGATGGAGCTCATGCGCAGCGAAGCACAAGAGAAGCACTCCACAGCATCCTGGCAGACACTTCGGGATCCTGAGCGTCAGAGCCCCCCAGCCCCCCGAAACCCTCGGAAAGTTCCTGGCCTTAGGCAGGGCAATCCGTAGTGCAGAATGTCACGCCTGGTTCATACTAGGCATGTTCTTATCCCGTTTCGTGCTAGGTTTGGGACGGTTCAGCTAACTCATGACTTATGTAGTGTGCTAGGTCTAGGTTCTCGTGTCACTCTTAGAAAGGACATGCGTGTCGACCCCTAACATCACATGCACGAAAGTCGGCAGTGCTAGTCGCAACAACAGCAACAAAAGCAACAACAACAGCAACCACAACAACCATGTCTATCAACTCCTTCAGTTGAGAAGCATCCATGGTTCGCAGCAGTCGTCTTGAGATTTCCCGAATAATCTGCAGGCCCTTAGTCTAATTTCCAGGCTCTAATACCCTGGCCCTAATCCCGAATCCTGCAATGCTCCGTAATCCCATTACCCCTAGCACCTGAAAGCCCTACAACCCTGTAACCTTGCATTCGCGAGATCCAAAGACGTCCTAGGTTCCTGAGTAGTACCCTTTTGCCCTTTCTATTTTTCGGGGCTCCTCCTAAACCCTAAACCCTAACCGTGTAGTCGTGGGATCCAAACACATCCCAAGGAGATGAACGAAGTGAAGTCGCAGCTGCGTGATCACTCCAAGAAGCGGCTAGCCCGGAGATTCCTCTGTTCGGGGCGTAGGGCCTTAGGATTCTTTCCTACCGGCTACGACTCCTAAGTATATCATACATAACTATATAATATGTAATACTAGATAGATATTCTAGGGGCTGCGCCCAGGTGCGGGCAGCGCAGGTAGAAGCCTGAAGCTAGGCCACGCACCCGCCCTTGTGTTTTCCCGTCCCGACGAGCAGCCCCCACGGAGACTTCACTGTCGCTCTGCCAGAGTGCTCGCTATCAGGGGTTTAGAAAATTACATGTCATAGTGGTTTATTTGTAGCATTTCTATAGTATACTAGGGTGTAGGATGCCCAAGGGAATTCTCCGATTAGCATGGCTCCTGCGCAAGGATGACACGCACGAATCGAGAAGTGTGTGGTACCAAAGTACTTGGAACGACACAGAGAAGATAAGCATGGCTCCGCGCAAAGATGACACGCACAAATCGACAGCGGGAGGCCGGCGTTTTATAGGGGTGGGGGGCGGGGTAGTAATTGTTGGCTGGCAATAGGGTTTCGCCCTCCGTGGCGGTTAGGGTTTCGCCCTCAATGGCGGTTAGGCGCCCTCCGTGGCGGTTAGGGGTTTAGGGCGCCCTCCGTGGCGGTTAGGGGTTTAGGGCCTCAGGGTTTAATAGGGTCTGGGTTTGAGTGGTCGGGTTTTGGGCTGAATCTAATAAGGGGCCTGGGTTTGAGTGGTCGGGTCTGGGCTGGGTTCTTCGGGTGTAGCCTAGAAAGGCGATATGAAAATTAGGTCTGGTGGCGGTGGTGAGGGTGGTAGCGGCAGTGATGGTGGTGAGAGCGGTGGGGGGTGGTGCGCGTGGTGAGGTGGTGCGCCCGGTAAGGGCATGGAGCAATCCGGCCTTGGGTCTGAGTAGACTCTACCTTAACCCTGAAGAACCCACCTTTTTAAGGTTCCTTGTTAAGTTATGATTTCCTTATATGAGTTCTTAAAATGGTAGGTTCTTCGGGGTTAAGGTATAGGATGTTGTGATCGAAGGTGAAGGGCTCGTTGCCTTAAGGTTGAGGTTGGGATTTGGAGTCCAAGGCTTTGGGTTTCGGATTTTGGGTTTAAGGATGTGGGATGCAGGGTTCAAGGGTTTAGGGTTTAGGGTTTAGGGTTCAAGGTCTATAGGTTTGCTGTTTACAGGGTTTGCAAAGTCGTAGGTCGTGACCCCTTGTAGTTTGAGAGGGTGCAACATATACATGTAGACGCATACGGCATACAACACATGCATACTTCTTGCTGTCATATATCATGTTTAAGACTGTCTATCAGTCTTACTGTTCCTATACATGCACCCACCGCAGATACAGATTGGGGGAATGCGCAGTGGGACAGAAACAACGTACCAGGGAGCTCTGGGTCTCTCGGACAGCAGGCTTCAGCAGAGCCTCGGGTACCAGATGCTTTGAGACTTTGAGCCCTGAGTTTAGAATTTTAAGTTAACCCCCGTCGATGGTAGCTAGAAGTAGGTGGATCTGTTGGCAGTTGGTTGCGCCCGAAGTTCCATGACAAGACGTCGGACCCAACTGTTAACTGTCGAAATCCGAATGGATCTGCGAGCAACCCTGTCTGCTGTGAGCTCAGGAACGGTGTCTACGCCGCACTCAGCCACGGCCTCAAGTTTGCTTTCCAATGCGTAGCTCCCAATGCCCAGGGCTCGAAGAGTTTAGGGAGCCTGAATCACCAGTTCTAACATGCCCTCATGCCCTTGTAGTCCCCACAGAACCATACTACAGCATACATCAAAGCCTCATTCCAAATATTCAGTGGGCCCCGACGTTACTCCCTGAAATGCGAAGTCCTTCAGGATGCAGAGCCATGTGAATTGAGCTGACACAGACATGGCGCAGAAGCCGAGAACGAAGCCGCGAAAGAAAGCTCCAGGTTTTGGCTTTCCATTGTCTCGACTCAGAAACTATTACAAGGCCCCCAAGCAGTAAAGCAAGACATGTCTTCCGCCCTCCAGGCCCAAATCCGTGGAAGCGTGAACACGTGCTAATCGTCAGCGTCCAGCACGAGCCAAAATGACCCAGAGCTGATGTGATTTTAAAGCTATGACTGTCACGTGCATATGAAGCAGCCTCCACATCCGACGCCTCTAGCATCGCAATCACGATCGCCATCGTCCTCATGTCATGGTCAAGTCATTGTCGCCGCCACCAGCATCATAGTCATAGCCAGTCATAGCCATCATCTCAAGCAACATCATCTCCATCGTCAGCATGATTACCTTGATCTTTCTCATGATTCTCTTCATCATCTTCTGTTACGGACAAGAGCCTGGGGCCTAGCATCGAGCAAAAAAGCCCATGACAGCAATGTGAAGGCTGCTCCAAGCATGACAGATGTCTCGCAGCGCTGCGAGAGAACGGCCGCCTCGGCAGCCGCCGCGGCCTCCGGCAGCTCCCTGTTGCTTTGTCAGAGTTGGCCCATGGGTAACATGTTACATAACTTTGTGTACTTAAACCCAATAAGGAATGAATATATATATATATATGTATATATATATGTATGTAATTTTTCATCCTATCCCAACCATGAACTAGGTTGTACCTGGCCGTTTCTGGTGACTTTGCGGGTCGCTTGATCGGCAAAAAGGGTCAAAACGTCCAGGAGCTGCAAGCCCGCACTGGCGCGCGACTCCAGCTGTCGGACTTGGGCAGCGAGGAAACTCTCGTGGAGGTCAACGGACCCTGCCAATGCGTTGATGATGCATGTTTCTTGCTGGTGGATGACCTCGCCCGCATCCAGAAGCTTCGCGTCGCCGGTTCCAAAATTGGCCTTGCGTCTGCCAATGTGCAGCTTGCGGTGCTGATCCTCGAGGACTTGTCAGACTGGGTCAACTCCGATCTGCGGAAGCAAGTGGAAGTGGAAACAGCGACAGCTTCCGATGAGAAGAGCTATACCTTGGCCTCGGAGGAGAAAGGAGGCCCTGCAGGAGGCCAAGAGGCGGAGGCGGAGGCCGGCGAGTCACTGCAAGCTCCAACGCGCGCGGTCGAGATGGAGCTCTTGGGCTATGCCGAGGTGAGCGGACGGCGCTTTCGCAAGCTCTTGCTTTCGGGACATCCACGTCGAGTGGGCTCCGTCGTGCGCACTGTGAGATGTCGAATGCGGCGCTACTCCCGCTGGGCAGACGCGAAGGTGCGAGAGCCACCGGCTGTACCGCTCATGCTCTTGGAGTCCGATCCTCCGGATGACTTCGTGTCAACCGAGAACTTTCTCCTTGGCCTGCCGAAAGGATGCGAGTCTAGGCTCTCCGAGACCTCCTATAAGGATCTTTTGGGCCAGATCCAGGAAGACTCGGGGGCCACCGCTCGAGTTAGGGCTGAAGGCGTGGGCCCAGGCGGAGCTTGCTTGGAGATTGCTGGATGCTGCTTTTCCAAACTCACGGCGGCCGTCGAAGTTCCAGCGCTCCTGGTCCAACTCTCATGCGAAGACGCCTCCGGCGATGGATCTCTGCAAGTTTGGCTTCGAACTGACGGGCCCTGTGCCCTCACCACCGATGCCATCTCTGCTACTTCCTCTTCCAGAGGAGTGCGTGCGGTCGTAGGACAAAAGACACTTCAATTTGGGGCAAGCTTCTCTCGGAGTGTCCAGCTCCACGGGCAGCTTGGTCCTCTTTGCGCAGCGGCTCGGGCGCTTGGGCTCGAAAGCGAGCGGAAGGCTTGGGCGTACGTGCGTAAACACGGGCAGCCGAATTTGCTGGTGGACTACCTCTCCCGATGGTTTGGTCGGGAGGCTGGTCGCATGCTCCGAGAGCGATCCGGGTCCCAACATGCCACAATCAGCTCCCGAAAAGTTCAGTCAGCTGAGGCTGGGGAGGATGATGCGACTGCTGCGAAGCGGCCTAAATCCACTGCAAAAAGTGCATCTCCAGTTCTTCCAGTCATGGGTCCACATCTGCCGGATCTCGACGCCAGCGACGCGATGCAGGAAGAGCCGCCGAAGAACGACGACGACGACGATGAAGAGGAGGAACCGGTTGTGCTGCCTTCTGCTTCTCTTCTTCCGTTGAATCTGGCATCGGAGGAGGCCTCGGAGCCCTGGGAGGAGGAGACGTTCCCGGTCCTCCCGGAGCCTCCCACGCCCCCGGAGCCTTTGCTTCCCGAGATTGAGGCCAAGGAGGCCCCTTCCGGGCAAGCTCCGCCAGCTCCCGAAGCTCCGGCTGCCGACACGGACTCCGACAGCGACTACCGGCCTGGTCCCAGCGAGGACCCTCTCTGGCATAGGCGACAGGAGCTCCTCAAGAAGCTCAACCAGCTGGGCTAGGTGGCTAAGCAGCTAGAACAAGTTTATTTGGAGCATACTGTATACTCGTCTTCTTCTAGTCTAGAATTCTTAGGAAGCTGGACTAAGACCAGGCGATGCTGAGGAGATGAACCTGTCGAGCCCCAGCCAATGCAGCTCGGGGGGCGGGCGCGAAGTCTGAAGTCAGAGATCAGACGAAAGGACAAGACATCAAGGCTTTGATCAAACTTTCAGATGTCCGTGGTTACTTGTGATGTTGATCGACAGCCTTCCTTTTTCGTGCTAAATCAGATGCAATCCGTTCGGCAGAGTGTTGAAGCACACCGTCCAAGCATGTCAGAACCTCAAGAAGAGTAAACATCGGCATTCAGAAGAGTATAGTACTGCACCATGTGAGGGCGGCACACAAGTTAGCAGCTGCAGCAGGGGGTTTTCGAGTCTGGAACTTCACGTCTTCAATGCCCATCTATTTCTCATCATGCTGTGCCAGACAGCCCTAGGATGTGACAGGAGTGCCCCGAAGCTTCAACTTGCCATCCTAAGCCCGAAAGAAGCCGCCCTCACGTGCATGAGCCCCCCTACACTACACGTGCCCTGGCTCTTCGATGCTCTTCAGGTCACGAGCTTGCAAACCACCAATTCTTGCTGCAGCGCCTGGCCGACAACATGATGGTTGGATGTGGGGGTAGGGTTGAGGGTTTAGGGTTTAGGGAGCTTTTGTGCCAGCCGACTAAGTGCCACGAGTTACTAGTTCTTATATCTCTACTAGAATATGCCGCAACATTCTGTTCTGATTGTCAAGGCTGCTGCCAGCTCAAAGGGAAAACAATGCTTTGGGGTGTATAGGCCTTATGTTCTTGTTTGTGGCCTCCTTCGGAAAAATCAGTTTTATGGCTGCTAATCATGCAAAGCTGATTATCGCAATTCCCATTCCCAGCGATGTGTATGTCAAGCTTCTTGTTTAGTTGTTTATGGCTTGTTCGCAAAATTGCCGAGCACTGGGGTAAGCCGCCAAGTCAGCAAAGGCACAGGGCGAGAGAGAGAGGGAGAGAGAGAGAGAGAGACCCTAAACTGGAAGCCCTGCACCTGGCATCCGAATCCCTAAATATTGCAAGAAAGGAATTCAAAAGTAGCAACCATTGAAGGGTCCTATAAACCCGAAGCTGCAAGTTCTCAGCAACCCAGGCGCATGCTTGGCGTGGGCCCGGCGGGACTTGCAAAGCACCCGCGGATCTCGGACTTCGCGGCTTACGTAGGGCTTTGACTTGTTTTATGGGTTTAGGAAACAGCCGCTTCAAGGGTTTCAGGGTTCACAGGTTGTGCGTTGGGGTGAGGTACCCAACATTGCCACATAGTAGTGTCCTCAGCAAACAAGCCCTTCGCCTTCGTTTCTGGAAACACCCACCGACCTAAATGCCAGGTGTGGCGAGAATTTCGCGCAGAGCAGGCGACAGGGATGGTTCGCAACTTACCTTTGGTTAGTAGGGAGTGGAAGAATGGTAGTAATAGTAGTTATAATTTTACCCCATTCCTCCATTCCCTACTAACCAAAAGGTAAAGCAAAGGCATGCTTTTGCCCCAAGCAGGGCCTTGATGGTCAACGTCTGCCGGCCTCTGCCTAGAATACTTAAAGACCGTGAGTGTACATGAAGGCCTGGCATTCTCCAGATCTTCAACATGATTCAGTCGTATCTCACTTCCCCAAGGACATTCAGCTTAGGATCCCTATGATAGGGCTTACATCAATTTAGACTGGTTGACCGTAATCGATAGCCGCTATACTCTCACTGTCGAACCCGGCCCCTGAAGCTTGAGCCCTGCAGCCGCATACCTGTTTGAACACTGGGACTCCTTAAGACTTTTATTGGAAGCAGCTTTTAGTACAATGTTTTTAGAGTCAGCCCCGTTTTTGCGACCTTCAACCCAAACACCGGAAGCCTGTCTGCTTCGGAAGGCCGTCCACCGCGCCTACCAGGCGAAGATTGCAGAGCCCGCCACTGAGCTTCTGCAGAAACCGAGGGAAAAGGGGGCTCCGAGTTTGGAGTTTAGTTTAGTCTTACTTCGGATACGGAAGTAGAACGGAGCTTGGGGGTATTTATCAAAGTATGATCATATTCGGGAAAGCAGAGGCATGTTTGTAATCTGTGGTATTAATGCCGTGGTCCTTGACTTGAAGTCCATCTGTGAATTTCCATGGGCCCCCTGTGCGGCACTTCGGCTCACCGTGGGTCACCCTGAACCTACGGAGCAAGGCTCAAAGTCGCGATTGCTGGGCTTCCATATTTCGATACCTGACAGTAGGACAGAGGGAACCTGACAGTAGGACAAAGGGTACGTAAACTTGGTCTTCGACTGCGCATGCAAGAATCCACCATGAAGGGCACCTGGGCTGGATCTTAAACGTGACCCTACATCCTGAAACCTCAACCTTGCATCTTCAACCCTGAACCCCTCTAATTACCCAAATCCTACAAGGCTTGACCCACAGCCTGAACTGTATCTCTTGACGCCGAAAGGCTGAATGTTCAGTTCGAGGACGATCTTGCCGAGTTGATGCATGCGCCGGCCTCAGCGGGAGTTTCAGAAGCTAGGACTTGCCATGGCTTCCTGTTCCAAAGCGCCTCATCACAGGAGGTTGGGCGTTTTCTGTTTCTTTGCCTGGACCATTTTTTGAGATCCCTACTACAGGGGCAATTTGTAAGGCCCAAGGTGTGCATCAATCCCTAGACGCCAGAGGAGAGTATATATTTTCTCTTTAGGACAAACCCGCGCAAAATCTGGCGACGTCTGAGATTCGTGATGCAGCTGTTGTGTGTAGAGTTTGGGCAGCTCAAATGGTCACGTGGGAGGCCCTGTGAAGCTGGCATCTGGCCTGCCTTACACTTTTTGGGAGAATACCACCCACTATCAAACTATAAAAGTGTACACGTTTTGGGGCGTATAAACTCAGCAACTAAGTTATGTTGGCCCGATTTCCCTATTGAACCTATTGCCCATACAATCGTTGCAAGACACGGCTCATGCACACTCTCTACGCCCTGAAACATTCGGGTTGGCTGAGGCTCTCTCATGCGCTCCTGAGTGTGTAAACCCTCAAACACCGAGCCGGTAGAGTGATACTACAATGTACCCAAGATCTTTTTTTATTAGCAAGGCGACGAAAGCCCGTCCAAACCCCATAACGTCTTGGTAAGCCCTATACCACCCATGTCTAGGTGTTTAGGATCTAATTTTTCTTGGTCTCTCTAAACTCCACATATATTATGCCGAGGCTCAAGGGATGAAGATGTACAACCTGCGTCTGGCTAGGGAGCCCCAGCTGGGAGGATTCGGCTATTTTTTTGTGGTAAAACATGCAAGGATGGATTTTAACGGGTCATTGCAGGGGGGGGTGCATACTATGTAAGCGGCCAGAATCAGCATGGCTATGAGGGCTCCTGGAAGGGCTTGCTGGAGTTGAGGTGCTTGCAAGGTTCTGGGTGTCGGGTTTAGCGGGCTTTGCTGCTTGCTGGGAGTCCTGCTCACTCTGGCAAGCTACTGAGTTCACGACGTTTGAGTCTGATGCTTCGGTTTCAGCCGCTGTTGCCCACCTTGATGAACAAGAACGATAGTCATTGGAAGAATGATTTCCGTAGTGAGAGAAGACCCCTTCTTGGTATTGCGGCTCAAAGCTTTCACGGTAAGTGAAGACTCGGCGTGAAAGATTAGGTTAGGCCTGGTGCAGCCCTCCGGTTCGCCATATGAGACTTTGAGAACAGTGTCGGACCTCTGGGGAGTCGGAGACAACAGGATCCTTAATATGAGTCATCAATATGAGTCATAATACGAGGATCCTAGGACAAGATACTAAATTACCGCCGAGTCCTTCCGAAACCCTTACAGGAGCCTCACGACAAAAAATGTGCAGTCGTGTAGGAAAGCCTTCGCCGGGAGGCCCTCAGGACGACCACTGGTGAGATCGCTACCGTTGGAGGTGTAGAAATTAAGCCTTTGTTTGCGTCATAAGAAGAATACTGGTATCAGTCACACACGGTGGATCGATGGTGATCATGTTGGGCAAAGGGAGCGGCAGGGTCTTTCACACCCCACTATAAGCCATCACCGTAGTTGGTGGGTTGATGACCAATCACCTCGAAACCTTGGCAGACCCTGAAAGCGCTTGAAGGGAGTAGCAGTTGAGTAGGCTAGTATTCGTCCGCAGGGCTCCCTGCTAGAAGATACCCCCAAACTCTATTCCAGTTCTTCTAGCGCATATACTAAGCTTCAACCTTCTTGTGCAAATCTACTTGGGCCAGGGCACACAACTGCTTTGGGTCGCTGTCCTGCGGAACCGACATCCTCCCTAAACACCTGTCTACATACACACAGTCATGCACATGGGTAGTTGTCACAATTATGGTCCTTTTTGGGGTCCCTAAACAGTAGGTGCCGTACTGTATTAAGGACCCAAAAAGGGACCCTAATTTTGACAACCACCACATAAGCATATGGGTGGTTGTCGAAATTATTGTTCCTTTTTGGGTACCCTAAATATTATGTAGGTGCCTTAAGCTATAATAGGGACCCAAAAAGGCATACCTGCATCCATCCATCCATACATAGGCAATTGGGCCATCAAGGTACAATGAAATTCTTCCCTCGGTCTTCACCCAGGCCTTAGCAGATCTCAAAGCCAGCAGTGAGAGGAAGTTGCTGCCGCTTCGACGAAATATTTGGGTCTCTTTTTTTCTGGGTGTTGCATCCTGATCCCTTGACCCTGATCTAGAGGTCTGAATAGCTCGTAATGAGTCTTGCGGCGTCGTGGTCCCATCCACATCCGAGGTTTGGCTGCGGGTAAAATACCCAGCTTGAGTCTGCGGGTCGTCAACCTAAACTCATGCGCACTCTATGTAATGTGTAATCATATTTACTGGTGCGGGTCAATACGCATCCACGTGCTATGCAAGATGATGTAGGCCACTGACCTAGGAAGCATCCAAGGTCATGTTTGGTGTTGTGGCTCCTTCACCGTCTGTGCTCTCTGTTTAAGTCGACTCTGGTCGTGGGTCAACATCCATCCAAGTCTCCTGTTTTTTTCCGAAATCGTCGGTTATTGTCGTGAGTCAAAACCCATCCAAATTTAACGTTTGTTGTCGTGGTCGGAATTCGTTGTTTCTCGTATGTCGATATCCATTCAAATTTCAGGCTTGTTGTTGTGGGCCCATAGCCGTCCGAATTCGTTGGCTCTTGTCGTGGGTCAGTACCCGTCCAAATTTGACGTTTGTTGTCGTGTGTCCTTTTCCGTCCGAATTCTTCGTTTCTCGCCGTGGGTCAATATCCATTCAAATTCCAGGAATGCTGTTGTGGGTCCATAGCCGTCCGAAATAGTCGTGAGCCAATATCCATCCAAATGCAACGTTTGTTGCCGTTGGTCCATAGCCGCCGAATCCGGATTCGGCGCTTCTTGTCGTGATTCGATCTCCATCCACCTTCCAGGTTTGTTGTTGTGGGTCCATAGCCGTCCGAATTCGTTGGTTCTTGTCGTGGGTCAACACCCATCCAAATTCAACGTTTGTTGTCGTAGGTCGGTCCATAGCCGTCCGAATCCGGATTCGTCGCTTCTTGTCGTGATTCGATCTCCATCCACCTTCCAGGTTTGTTGTTGCGAGTCCATAGCGTTCCTGGAATGCCTTGGGCAGGTTCCAGGCAAGGTTTTACGAGCCTGAGGGTTGGACATCCCTTCAGGCTTCCAGGACCGAACCATAAACGCAAAGCCTCAACCCTCAACCCCGTTCGTTTTACGGGGTTCCTGGAGCTTAGGAAGTGTAAAGATAAAGAACCTTTTGGGACACCGTAAAAGATCACAAGCTCATGGAGGAGTCATGCCAAGGAAGCTTCTTCAAGCCCGAGGAGAAACCCCAAGGAGCTGCCAAAGTCTTCTTTTCAGAAACCCCATTAAAGTTTTACGCCGAGGTTTCAGTACTGCATGTCCGGGCCCCGTCCTGCTTTTGGGATTTATGGATTTCTGGGATTCAGGATAGCCTGGGGTGGCAGGGCTGAACACAGATGGGTCGGTAAAAGCTATTTGGGGTTCCATGCTTTAGGGCTTTGCCTTCAGGTTTTTGCTCTGGGTGCACCGCCTTGAGTGAAAGCTTCGGAGCTTCATTCTGGGACATGTCTCTGAACTGCAGGCTCTTCTCAAACCCCTCTGTCCCAACACTTCTGGCATGTGCCGTGTAGGCACACACACACACACACACACACACGGACACACCTGTGGATGGGAACGGACGACTCGAATCGGCTGAAGTCTCTTCATGTCGTTTCCAGATCTGTGCGTTGTCCATGTTGAGGTGCCTAACGCGTCAGACCAGTCGTCGAAGAACAGAACCTGATCCTCCTATGCGGCTTTCACTTAGGATGCCGACAGAACCTGATCTCGGAACAGACGCAACTTCAAGAAGTTTGAAATAAATCCCAGGGTACTTTGTTTCAGTCTGGGAAGAAGGGCTCGCCAAACCCGAAAGAAGTATAATTTCAGTGCTGTAGTCGTCTGAGTGCGGAGCGCCCCCCAGGGCTTCTAAGCTTCTTGCAAAGCACTCGGGGAGACTCCCGGTCTGCTCCGAAGAGGATCAGGAATAACTTGGCAAGAGTTGGGAAATCATACTTCATATGAGGTTTCAAGTTTCAAGCAGATATGCTTTGGGCTTCATTGTCTTCTACTTCGGGTACTTAATCACATGAGAGTTGGAGAACAGAACCTAAATCCTCAAATCCTTCATGTACGGATCCCGAAGTCTGAAACTGAAAGAAAAGATCCCTGGAACCCTAAACCCTCGACACATTGCTTGCTTGAGCACGAGGCAGAAGTGGGACGAGTGCAAGTACCAACGCAGTCTGGAAAACGAGTTGGCGCAGGCTCCGACGGGAGAAGCCAAGCATGAATCCATCAGGTTCAAGCGCTGGGTTGGGTAAGGGCTTCAAGGCCCCAAGGCTTGGGCTTCAGGGATTCAGAGTGTCAGGTACAGCACAGGGAGGAATCTTGAACCATCTTTTCCTGCCAAGAGTACGACAAGCGTGCGCTGGACTTGCAAGTTCGTTTTCCACAGGAGTGAAATTTGCAAAAGCAAGCATGATATTCCACAGGAAGCCTATGGAATTCTAGCTGATGTTGATTTAACTGTTCCCGATTGCAATCATAGCACAAGTTGCCGCCACACTGTGTTCCATTCTACGCCGTGCCAAACCGCCAAAATGTAAATGCACTAGCGCAGAGCGGACCTCCAACTAATGAGGCGTTGAGGGGTTGAGGGGATTTTAGCCGTAACGCTCTGTGTTTTCAAGGTCCCATGGCTATGGATTGCGGTGCGTCCCACTGAAGCCCACACACAGCTTGCGCCCCAAAACTCCCCAAAACAGAGCCTGTAAACACCCCAAACCCTTATTCCAGATCAACGAGCGCCACGAAGATGAGCTTGCCGAGCTGGTCCGTCCCCTACGGGCTGGGTCTTTTGATTTGGGTCTACGGCAGAATGACAGGGTTCACTTGATGATTTGCCGGTTGTGATGGCTCTCGGTTCAGGGCCGTTTGCGCTCACACATTGAAGAGCTCGCATGAGCACATACGGGGTTTGTATGACCTTGAAACTGACAGGTTCATGCTTTCGGTCAAAGGTATCCAGCACATCAGCCCAACACCCTAAACCCTAAAATGATTTGATCTGGCATGTTGCCTGGGGTTTTCTGAGCACAGGCATGCAGGGTTCGACACCGCCCCTGCGGGAATTCGAAGGCGAGTAGAGTCGATGCAAGGACCCACCCCGGACAGGCTGAACCTCAATCCCCGAAGAAGAAGGAAAACGGCAAATCGGTGACGCTGAAATGTTGACAAAAATGAGTCTGCACACCTTATACGACCCATCCACCGCCAAATGAACGGTGACTCGAACACCAAACCGCTGGAGCCGCTAGGTAGTTGTCAATCTCGTGGTCTGGTTGCTAATTGCTGTTGGTGGCAAAGGCTGCTATATCGAGAATGGCTACAGTGCGAAAGCGACAATAGTGAATGATCCCCGAAAGGAAGCTATGAAAGCAGGGCTGACCAAGCACCTGTTTCCAGCTCTTGGCGTGCTGCTGTCAATCCGCCCGAATCGGCTTACTGGCTATTGGTATGGTATCTGCGTGGCAACTGCAGGACTAAACCCTATAAAGCAACATCCTCAACCCTAAACCCTACAGCAAAATCCTAATCCCTAACCCTAAAAAGCAAAATCCTAATCCCTAAACCCCAAAACAAAATCCTAATCCCTAAGCCCTAAAAAGCAGAATCCTAATCCCTGTGCTTTTAGGGTGGAAAGAGGCTCTCAACAACAAAACTTCAGCCCCCGAGTTCCAAACCCAAGGTGCATGCCCAGGGCTTGGCCAAGCACAGGACAGCAAGGGATCCGAACCTTGAAATCAAACGGAGGGTTCAGCGAACGAGAGAGAGAGAGAGAGAGACTCAGATAGAAAAAAAGACAGACGTGTATCTTTGTTTGCCTGTTGTGTTGCTTACCTTTGGGTCTTTGTGGGTTACAAGCATTGCCTTCCCATACACATCAAGGCTTCGGGTTGCCTTTACTATTTGTTTTGCATGGTTTCGGCATCTTCAAGCTCAGACGATGTCATCCCAGAGCTTGGAGCTTTTAACCCTGTCGGATGAGAATTTGGATTTCAAACTCCGGCGAAGCAAGGTAGGGCTGCTCATGGATATCGGTGGGTGTAGAGACGTGTGGTTCCTTTTGACAACACTTGTAATAAGCACCTGGACGCCGGGCTAGGTTTCATCAATACTGCATACCCATACACCCTGAACCCTAATCACGCCATCCTCATTTCGTTGCTACAGTAATCATCCGATTATCTGGGGTCTGGCTTATGTTCCTTATCAAGGACTTCTCGTGGCTTTTGGTGGCATTCCAACATCCCTTAGTTGCATGTGCTTTAGTGAGCCGGCGTTCCGGAGGATGATCCAGACGAGCCAAGATCGGTTTCTGAAGGGTCCACGCCCCAGCAAGAGATGGCCAGATGTCTGTGAAGTGGACGTGGGTTTGGGACTCGGACTTCTTTGAAGTGGTTAGATTAGAATGAAGCATTTGTGTGGAGAGTGTTTGGAGAGGTTCTGCACCGGCAGTCGATGTTTGATTTCGACTGTCCAGCTTGAAGCTTGTAGCTTGGAGCCAAGAATCGTTTGACCGAAACCCATCTCTCGGCACTGATCCGGGAGCGTTTGCATGCCTGCTGCGTCCTGTTTTCAAGATCCCAAGTTCCAACGACGACATGAAAAGAGTCATCCGATCGTCATGGCAGCTGTGTTTCGCATCTCCAAATGCCGACGTTGGCCTCAAAGCCTTAAACGACAAATATCCAGGCGTCGCGCTCGAAATCGTCAGACAGCTAGTCTTCAAGCAACACCGAAGTAGATGCCCACGCTTCAGCACCGCCCTAAACATCAAAGCCAAGCCATAAACGCCAAACGCGCAAATGAGGCCCTTCAGTCAAACCTAAATCGCCAACCCTATACTCAACATCCTACACCGAAGTACCACGGAGCTTCCGCATGCTCCCATGCATGCCAGTATCAGTGGCATGCATGAGAGCATGGGGTTTCTTGGTACTTCACTATATGAACAAGGGGCTCTTCAGGAGTATTGGCGATTGTTTATTAATGTTGAGCGTCATCTTGGGCATACCAGTAAGCAACATTGAGCAACTGCCTACACCATGCGCGCGCAGCCCTGCGCAGGTGTGATGCGACAAGAGCTCCAGCGCCACTTCCTTGCATGGCCCACTCCCGAGCCGAGGTGGTAGTGGAAAGGCTTAGTCGCGCCTTGCCTTTTTCGCGACTTCGGATTTAACGTTGGTGTCAATCAGTTTCCAAAGGTCCAGCGAGCCCCGAAGGTGATACTCGAAGTGAGATGGACAACAAATGGGTCCGGATGCTTTATACTACATGGTAGCCATATAGTTAGTTTTGTATGCTCTGGTTGACTCACCTTGACCTAGCTTCTTTTCAAATGCATGGACATCGAGCTTGGTCGAAGATGTGCAGTGGAGTGGGCGCCGCATCAACCTGCAACGCTCATCGGTAGCCAGCAGGAACGGCCTTCAGTATCCTGATGTCCAATGTATTCAGGTTGCCGGACATCGCAATGGCTCTATATGCTTATCTGAAACCTCTCACGCTGCTCGTGGGGAAATCATGTGTTCAGGCACCTTCCGCTTCAGCATTGAAACACTATGCCCTGCAGCCCTAGAAGCCCGGACCATGACGACCTGCACCTCTGCCAGACGCCCTAAATCAGGTCCCACGTGAAGCGATTGAACATCTCCACCGCTGCAGAGCTACTGACGGTGGCGAAGGCGAAGCAGCAGCTGGGCAAGGACTCCGCCGCCATGCTTTCCAGGGTTCAGAGTTCATGTTGCCTGGTAACCTATACTAAGTTTAAGTGTTTGCGCATCAAACTCCCCAAGAAACTGTAGCACAAAATATGATTGTTCGGCTTTGGGGTTTCTATGGTCTCACCGAATCCTAGACTCCTATAGACCCCAGCCGACTAAAGCCAGGAAGTTCTCGGTCCTGAACCCCGGGCCCCTAAGCTCCTAAGCCTCTCAACTCCCAACAAAAGCACGCCGCACTTTGAAAGGAGATGGAAGTGAAAGACCTGAAGGCTGGATGTGTTCTCGGATTGTGGGCTTTGCTGGAGCTTCTCTGTGTCGATTAGGGCTTCTGTTTGGGTTTGTAGTGATTCGTGTTTGTAGCTGTAATGGGGAATTCTGGTCTTTGCGGGATTCTTTCGCACAGGTGGTCGGGTGGCGTCTCGAAGGATCGCCGCAGCGCTCATTCCCGCGAATGCAACATCCAATCCCCATCTTCGGTGTCCGTTTCTGGGGCACAGGAATTCAGAAAACTCCGCGCCGCGCGTGTCCTGAAGTACATTCGTGAACCCAACGACTTTGAGAGCCCAAGTCCTCGTTGAGCCAACTGCCCCACCCACCCTCAGCACCAGTCCCTACATCCCTTACGGGAACCTCAACTCACCCTTAAATCCCAGAATTCTCAGGCCGAAATGCTCTTAGCCTTGAGCCCTGAACCCGAGTCGACTCTCGAGGCCCTTCGCCTGAAAGACCACGTGGTGCACCACGTCTCGAGGACCATCACCTTCGTTCGACTCAAGGACTCTTCGGGCTCCATTGAAGGGCTGCTTTTGGCTTTCAGGTGCCTGCTATTGTTTTGTGTTTTTTTTTGCCCGCTTCGCCACTTCCTTGGTGTTTGGGGGGGACCTCAAGACTCGCTTCTTCAAGCTTTTATAAAGCGCCTGCAAGGACTCGATAGTGTGATCCTGCGAAGTGGTCGTTCAGGGGGTTTACGGGGAGCGTGGTTGTGTGGTCAAGGGGTTTGGGTTTTAGCGTTTACTTCTCTGCCCTGCCGCTTGCATTGCTTGAGACCCCAAGCCCGATAAACCTCTCAACACCCAAACCACTACATACAAAGCCCTTCCGTCAACACAAATCAATGTCAGGACATCTGGCTCGCTTGGCTGCATCAGGCGCCTCGGAGTGCCTACGTGATTCGAGTTATATGTTTGAGCAGAAGAGAAACAGGAATCCCACTGTAATTGTCCTCAGCCCATGATGTTATACTCTTCCGCAACTGCAAAACCTGACAGCCCGAGTCCTACCTTTGAGCAGCGCGAAAGATTTTCTTGCTTGCTGTCCCGGCCGCGTCAAGTCAGCCCTGAAGTCGGGCAGAGTACAGTGCACAGGTCCTTCCATCAGATTTCGAAAACCGCATACCTCGACGAATGTCAGGTGCTACTACACCGCCTCGAGAAGACGCAAGATCGCAAAGACCGGTCGCACCGAAAGGCTCGTAAGGGATTGGGTCTCTGAAGGAGTCCTTTATGGGGCGTTTGAGTTTGTGCTTTCGAGTTTCACTGTCAGTTTTGTGGGAAAGCTTGCATTGGTTGTTAGGGGTGTCAGGTCTCTTGGCTCGTCGTAAGAATGGCGTAGTTACGCCGTTTAGAGGATCCCGAGTGCAGAGTTTGGGATATTGAGAAACTATAGGCATCCGTTTTGATCTTAGGACGTCAGGGCACGGGTTGTATAGCAGTAGATGTGAATCTCGGGTTTCTGTTGCGTGTCTGCGGGAACCCTGACTTCAGCACATCCGAGCCCGGGAGACCTGGTCCTCTCCGTGCCAAAGCCCCAAGATTTTGAATTCCTTAACCTCGAAGAGCCCATAAAGATAGCTGGCTACATTAAACTGTCCTAAACGCTAGGCCGCCAGAGCTTGATAAGCAGAATCGGGTTTGGGGAAATCTTGGTGACTGTTCTCACTAGTCATTCCACAGCCCCATAGAATGCACCTTTGCGGTCACACCATAGCACGGCCAGGAGATTCAGCGGATTCGCCGGGAGGCTGCAGACGAGCCCGGTGCCTATGTCGTGTTGGGTGGGGCATTATGTGAGGTTGTTCTAAAGGGTTCTTAACCGCCGGAACCCAACTCCTAATGCAAGAGTCCTTTAGAAGCTCTCTTTGTAAACACCCTCTTATGTAAGACGCAAGAGCCGCGAACTAAAAGCCTCGTTTTCTCAGGCACACCGCCCTGGGCGAGCGCATGCACTCCGAGCTGGAGCAAGTTGGCAGGGATCTCGAGCCTGCCCTCGTCAGGATTTTGCGTCATTTATTTGTTTGAAGGGGGTTCGAACTTGGGTTGAGGGGTTTAGTGTGTCTCTTGCTTTGCTAAGGGGTTGCGATGTATTGAAGAAAGGGTGGGGGTTACGATTGAGGGCATCTTCTTGTTCTGTTGGAATGGTTTAGGTGCCTTACGAAGAGGATCGAGGTTGAGGGTTAGTGTGGTAGAGTTGCTTCGGTCATACTTTGTGGGTGAGGTTGCATCGTTTTTCCGGCTTGGGGGACTTTAGGGTTTTAGCGCGTTGCAATTTATTGGTTTGCGGGGCCTGCAGAATGGTTTGGCGTCTTGGGTGTCACGTTAGGTCAGGTTTCGAATGGTATCCACAGCTGATTATTCTTCATATCCATATGCATTCTTTGACGGAAGATGTTGCGACTGATGTGACTGCAATATGCTTTTGAATGATACGAGTCATGTTGCGATCCACAAGCTTTCCAGTGAAAGTAAGAAGGCTTGTCAGGTGGAGGGTCACGTGTTTCAGGGGGCTGCATTGATAGTCCGAAGATTCGAGCTCAGTCGCTTAACTAATTGCACGACGTGAGCTGCGTGAGTGGCCATGTCGCCGGCGCCGCCTTTGCGATTGTCCTCCAGCCACTAGCCGGGCTGCGTGGTTCCGTGCGTTGGCCATGATATGAGAGGCCAAGGTGCGCAGACCCTCGGCTTTTTCTGATTATGTACTTCAAAGGTGCATGCAAAGAGGCATTATGAAGTGGGAAGTCCTCATTGGAAGGTGCAATTTGGGCTCACTGACGGTTTGCTAGACTTTTCATCACCTCAGTGAGGCAGCTTGAGTTTGCTTCATTTCGCAGCCGCTGGTCACGTCACAAGGAATCAATAGAATTAACACCAGGGATAGAACTAAGCAAGTGATGTGAGCCGTTGGGAGCAGCGCGTTGGGCAGTCCATGAACAAGCTCGCAACTGTGCGCTGAGGCTGGCATGGCAAGCTTGGAACTCACATCCTTTTTGTGGCAACAGAAGCTGCTCTGAGGACCGCGGACCTCTTGAAGGGATTTTGAACGCCTGAACGGGTAGCGTGATTTTTCAAACTGCGCAGAGTTTGCTGCAACACAGCTTTGAATTCCGTACAGGTTGTCCTCGCACAGCACTCTCGATTGTAAGAGCTAGAGTGCGTCCACGCCGGCAGCCAGGCTGGCAAAGGATGCCGTAAGTAGTTGTGTGAAGGGGCTGGGCTCGGCCCGTTGGTCCCTGGGCGCAGTAGTTTTGGGGCGGGAGGGGGAAGAAAGCTGAATCCTGGTCAGCTTGTTCCAGACGCCCGTCGGCTGAAGCCAAGGAGAACATGAGTGGGATCGCTCTATGAGGCGGCCAAGAGAGCAGCGTAAAGCATGTATGAAGGAGTTTTCCAAGCGGGTCCTCATATCGATGGTGAATGTTGAAAAACATGGTGCGTCAGTGCGCGCCAGCATTCTGCAGGCACGTTGTCCGCGATAGCACGCGATCTCAGCTTCAAAGTCTAGGGCGGAGCGCGCCTAGCATTCTGCAGGACATGCCCTGGTATCCAGGTTCATCACCCAGCTCATACGGTAGTATAGCCTATGTGAAGGACCTGTGTTGCCTTGACATGCCTTCTCCACCCAGCCTGATGTTTTGCAGCAATAGGACCGTCCGGCAGAGTGGCTTGGCTGCGCTCAGCGATGGGGTGCTGACAGCAAGCACAGTCACAGTCTTTCAACCTGGTCTGCACTCTGAGACTCCCCGCACAGGCTCGACGCGGAATGGAATTTCCTCAGGCATCAAATCTTGGAGCTGCAGACGGAGTTCCTTGGAAGCAGAGGCATGTGCTGCTGCACCCTTGCGCACAACTTGAACAACGCCAGGAAGGAGAAAGCCCGGGACAACCAGAACGCCAACCTGAAGTTCTACAAGGACTGTTGGGTTTCTCTTTGGCTTTCTGGTTGCTTACGCACATGTGCGACGATTCACTTTTGATTGGGGACTGAGCTTCCTGGTTTCCTGCCTCCGAGGCAGCGTACGCGGGCCTCCTGGACGAAAAGAACCAGGCGGCTGCCGCCGCCTGACTTGCAGCCATGCATCCTCAACCTTCCTCAGCAGTTTCGGGCCAGAGTATAACAAGATATGAGGGACTTCTGAGCTCCTTAGCTCAATACTTCCGGGGTTTTCCTTGGAAGAAACTTTCGCTGAGGCGGCCTCACTACGCGAGACGCAGCTGATACGCGAGCTGGCAGAACTGCGCGAGCTGCTTGCAGTCCGGGAGAAGGCCCGGTGCGAAGGGCCCCCCATCTGAAGGCAGAGAAGAAGTAGCATACTGTAGGAGAATAAGGGGTACAGTGTAGTGAAGTACTGTACAGTACAGCATAGTATAACAGCTAATCATGGTACACTAAACATCAGATTGTGAGATTATAATTGTCATGTTATTCTCAGCATCGGACCGCCGAAAATCCGCAGCGAACCGGGAGCACTTCGACATACCTTTCCGACATACGCATGAATGCTGAATACCCAATCATTTCTGTGTGCGCACAAGTTCCCCGGCTTCACCCTTATCCTTCTTATGTAGACCCTGGGCATGTCGAAGCGCATCGGGCCTAAGCTGCCTCAGTGAGGCTCACGGTTCTCTTTGAGGACTTGCTCCTCTGCCCATTAGAAGGAACTAAAGAGCCAACATGAAACCGCGAATCGCTGCCGCACCTGGACTTTGCGCCGTTTAGGATCCTTCCTGTGAGTATCACCAACACCACAGGCTTTTCGGGGACGAGATGGCCTTTTCTGCCACGTTCGGTTTGAATTTGATGGATTTGCAGGTGCAGAAGCCTTTGCAGATTGGTAGCATGGCCGTCAATGCTGTCCTGAACCCGTACAATCCAAATGTCCAGCCTGTAGGCAGCCTGGAGTCCTAGAGATCCCAAAGCCTCAAAATGTCAGCTCGAGCCGAAAGAAGACATCGCAGTACAGAGCAATGAGTGCGATCCTGCCATCAAAGCCCTTAACCGCCAAAGCTTAAACAACGCTAGAACCCTACGCCTGCACCTCTCAAGCCCCACACCTTCGACCGAACGAAGCTTCTGTTGGACCTCACCTCGAGCTCTGGCTCTTTACTCCACGTGCGCTTGGCTGGTGGCTGAACTGGCCCCGAAGCCCCGAAGTCCAGGGCCCTCGAGCGAACGGGAAGAACATATATGTTTATAAAGGGTGTTTTAGTTTGTGATTTGTGGTTGAGGGTTTCGGGTTTAGGTTTGATTTTTGCCTTGCTTGGCAACCCGTCATTAGACAGATAAACTCCAACTTCTGTACTGGATGCCCCGAACACTCTGATCATCCAACTTGGTTCACAGTCACGCGCTGTCAAGTTTTTCCTATTCGACCAGCTGGACTTGAAGCTGCAGAAAACAGAAGCGGAATGCAGCAGCAAGGCGCGGAAACGGGGGCGGAATCGGGATTGCCTCGAATTTTCCACGCCTGCCGTTCTCAAACAGGTTTCCCCGAATCCAAAACTGTAAATCGCAAACATGAACCACCAAAACCCAGCCCGCTAGAAGCCTTCAGGAAGCCCGTTTGAATCGGCTCTTGGAGAAGACCAGCAAGTGGAAGGCTCCCCGTTGGGTCGCCCGTGCGGCCTTTCTCTGGGTTTTGTCGAAGCCTTCTTCGCAGTACCAAATTAAAGCGGGCTGTTGTCGTTTATGGTCCTATGTTGTCGTAAGTTATCGTATGTTCTGGGAGAGTGCAGTAGTTTTCTTTTTCTATAGATCCTAGGTTCTTGAGTCCCTGCTTCTACAGCAGGACAAGCTCAAGAAGCAGCTCGCGAGATTGCAGACCAAGGCGCCCCGAACCCCACGTCATCCGAAACCATATTCCAAAGGATCCCAGCACCCTTTACAGCAGAACGCTCACAGTAGGGCTGCGGGTTTAGAGTTTGAATTGCACCAATGAGGCAGCTGTAACAGCTGCGACGGCGGTCAAGGGGCTGTACCACAAGGCATTCGCTTGCTCGCATGATGGATTTCGCTCTGTAACAACGTGCGATTCCGTCGACATATCACAGAGCTGAGAGAAGCATTACACGTCGAGATCCGCATAAGCCGCAAGCCAGTTCAGCAAATGCACGGTCTTTGAGGCCAGGTAAAGTCGCAATAGACATAGTGGCGGTATTGGTTTTCGGCTGTCTGTAAGCATGTGGGTGTGCTGTGACATGATCTTCTAGTCTGATGAAATTCGATAAGAACTTTGGGACTTTGAGAGTGAAGTTTTTTTTGCGCAGATTGCCCAACCTGGATCTAGTTCTGCACAAGGGGTGTTGCCAGGGCCTGGAGCTGCTGTGCCAACTGGTGGCGGAGGCAAGTTGCCTAAACTCTAAACCCCCAACACAGTGCCTTTCTTAGGATCCTAAGCGGGGCTATTGCCCCAGAACCCTGCTAGCTGACTACTCGATTGCTGTATAAGTATTGCCGTCATGCTTTACGTTAGCACTCAAGGTTTTAGGTGCAGGAGTTCGGTTCACGGTTGATGCGACTGATGATCTCAACCCTAAAGGAAACGTTTTCCTTGCACTCTTAGCTCAACCTTGAACCATCTTTGGGGCTTTTTAGGGTTTTAATGGGTCTGTATTCTGGGAAAGTGCTATATATTTCTATATAGCTTCTTGAGTCCTTGTTTCTGCAGGCGGAGACGCTCAAGAAACAGCTCCCCGCCTTGGAAACCAAGGCGCCTCGAGCCGAAAGCGCGTTCACATCGGGTCCCGTGGTCCCCCCAACACCAAGTTAGCGAGATCCTACATGTTCAAGAGCCCAGAGCTGAGTGCCATCCGAACTGGGAATTGTGTCATGGTGCTTGAGTCTCTGCGGAGGATGTTGCCATCATCCGTGCAGCATGCCGTCAAGTAGCCAGATCCGCATGAGCGTGCTCTCCGTTTGGTCTAGTCTACATATTGCCGTTCTTCAGCTCCCTACGTCTCTAGGCCTGCCATGCG